AATTCCACAGGCTTATTCAACTGTACTCATCTCATTCAGTCTACCAGTGATGGGCCAATTGTGTAACAAACTTCTCTTCTTGGGAAAAACACTTTAAAAAGGCAATCCATCCTTAACGTTTGTAAAGGTCATGTGTAACTGACATCATCTGTAAACTGTTTAATACTTATTGACAGGACTTAATTATTATTAATAATATATGAATTATCATTATATTCATATTATTATTAATGCCCTCACTCCCATTATAAAGCTTGGAAGAGCCAGGATATTTTTAAATATATCTCTGATTGTGTTCGTCTGAATGGATGGCTTGAGGGTGAGTAAATCCCAGGAAAATGTTCATTTTTGGGTGAACTATCCCTTTAATGTGACTGTTCTCAGGATGCTCACTGGAGCTGGTTGATTTGTAATGAAGGATCAGGAAAGTGTGGGTGAATAGAGTGGATTATGCAATTATGTAGTTTACAGTATGAGCGCATTAGTCTCAAAATGTAAAGCACCACAGCAATCACAGACAGAGGCACACAATAATGTATTAACATTATTAATAATCACACGCCGGATATTATTATTACAATCATGTCAAGCAAGCAAGTATGCCATCATAACACACAGGCAGCCAAAAAACAACAAAAAACAGGGCTAAATCGGACTAAACAGAGTGACTTTGACTCATAATGAAGGCTTTAAATGTTTAATAAATGGGATCTTTTTGCAAATTTAATATTTAAGCTCCTTACCAGCTGGTTAATTTCTGAGGTTAATCAGCTTTTGCATTTTCCTGCATAAAAATAAAACATATGCATTTTGTCTCCTCAATATGTTCCACTTTGGAGGCTGTTTGCACTGAAGCTGGTCTACCTTTAGGCTATTGTCTGAGCAACAATTTGCAGATGTTTGAACTAAACTTTTCTACAGCTGGTTACCAAATGTGCCTGAGTCTTCCCACATACTCATGGAACAACAACTTGTGTGTGTGATGTTTAAAGACTGTTGAAAATGACTGACTGTGTAGCATGTAAAAAGTAGCTAACTATGCAATATTCAATGTGAACAAGTAATGTTCTTGTTCTCTAGATTGGATAAATGTTGTTATAGTAAGCATATGAAGTCTCTCAGACTTGGGCTCACACCTAACACTACATGTGTGTGGTTAGCTTTGGCTTTGATCTACAGCTTCTGTCATATTCCTGTTAACGTGTTCAGACCCGCCACCATAAAGCTCTTGCTTCCCCCTCCTGCAGACACACAGCAAGAGACATTCTGACATTCTGGAAATACAGATTAAGAAAAGAACAGTTGTCAACCCTAGATGGCAGCATTTTAGCATTCTCCTTTTCTCATTTAATAAAGAACATATTCCAATAGGCCTATAAGATCCCACCACTGAATGGCTGTTCCATTTTCTGAATTTTCAGGCATTTTATTAATAAACAACTGTTTAAAATGTATTAACATTCTGGATTAGATGTTTTATGGAAGGTAGATTGTGATATTACTTGACCCTAAACACTTAGAGTGTGATTCTGCTTGCATATTGAATCCGGTGTTTTGTAGCATATAGTTTGAGTTCAGTCGATGTTCTCTGAATCTGAGTGGTGTCTCTGTGTGTGTGTGTGTGTGAATACTGATCCCCCTCGCTCTCTCAGTAACAGTTAATAGATCACATTGACCTGGATATAGACTATGACCAGTGCTCAGAGTGCTGCCTGCCTTTTTGTACATAGACAAACATGCTGATCCACCACAACAATGCTAATGCTAACACTACCTATAATGGCACATTGACCCTGGACACAGGTGAGTGAGACTTATTGGGGGAAAAAGAGACACAATCTTTTCCTCAGACCATACAATTCTTTCTTATAATTTGTCTTGAGTTTAGATATTTTTGAGAAAGTATATTTGGTGACCATCTGAGCTTATGAAATGATTAATTGCAAACATTAAAATATAAATTATTCTTTCCCCTCTCTTAAATGAGGCTCATGTAAATCTAAACCACTTAAAACAGTTAGATGGACACGCTAATGTATTTAATGTGGTTGTCTAGTGCAAAAAAAGGTCTAAGGGTGATACAGACCAAACAGCTTAAATGTTATGAACTTGACAAATTTAGCTGTGGTATCTATCACAGAAAGCCCGGCACTGTATTTGGGTGCTACGCTTGTGTTTGTATTGACATTTGTTGTGAAAGCAGAGAGTGTGAGGACACAAAATATTCAAACTGATTAAGTGTTCTGATTCAGTGACCTGATTAAAGGACATAATGAAATAATGAAAGAAATGGAGAGGGAGAAAGATTCAGGGAAGCAGAAATACAAAATGCGTTTAATGCTTGATGCCAATCATAGAAAATAGTTCTTGGGGAGCTGCCTGACTACTGTCAAAAATCATCAAATGTATAAAGTCCTGTAAAGATTGGGTGCAAAAAAAAAGTTAAACTGCTTTTTCTTTTTTAAGAGTATTTAGAAATAAAGAGTTTTTATGTGTTTGTCTCTGTATATGCTTCAAAATGCCATTTTCTAATTGAAGGTTGGGAATATCAGCCTAATAAATATAAACAAAATCAAGATCTCCACACTCCACACACTTTTACATATGTGAAGATGATTCCAAAAATATATAATTACAATGATTTTATTTTACTCAATTGTTACACAGCACAATAAGAGCATAAAGAATGGGACATAGTGACATTTACTCAGTAGGCGTAGGACAGGAAATTACACAATTGTGGGTGAAAAAGTTATTCTGAGAAAATAAACTCAAAAAAATTATTTGGTAAAAAAAAATCCTTCTTCAGTTGATGGGAAATAAATGTTACATTTACAAATACATGGTATCATATGTGTAACGATACAGTGGAAAAGGATAATAAAAAGAGTATAGCAAATTAAGGATGGAGGGGGAAGAAGGAAATTTAAACGCTAATGGACTGGACACCATACACATATACACAAAGAAGATTATTTTCCTTAACTCAACTACATAGCAACGACATTGTATGTTAAATCCAGTAAATAAGTTGTAAATGTCTTCTACCTCTAGGTCACGGCAATCATAAAGAAGACAGTCCCTTTCTCAGCAGTTCAGACTCAGCATCTAAGAGGAATGACTTCTACGACAGAAACCTGGCTCTGTTTGAGGTTCATTTTACATTTTCCTTTCCTTCTATTTGCAGTATTACCACTATAATCTAAGAGCTCAATAATTTTAACACTAATATCAATAACAACACATATAGTGGAAAAATGAAAAAATGTGTTTCTTTTCTTAGTATCATCTATATGTGTATCAATCTTAGTACAGTATATGTGGTACTGAGGTGTATGTTTCCTTAGGAAGAGCTGGACATCCGGCCGAAGGTCTCGTCTCTCCTCAGCCGGCTGGTCAATTACACAAATGTTACTCAGGGAGCCAAAGAACATGAAGAGGCAGAAAGTGCTGATGCATCCAGAAGACAAGTGCCCAAGGTTTTTTAAAAAAAAAAATGAAAATTATATTTTCACTCCAACCAAAATAAAAAATAAAAAAGTCTGAGAGACTTTTCTCTTTCCTGCTTTTTTCTCTGTAGTCTCCGAATATGGGCACGCTGATGGGAGTGTACCTGCCATGTCTGCAGAACATATTTGGTGTGATTCTTTTTCTGCGTCTCACCTGGATTGTGGGAACAGCAGGTGTCGTCCAGTCCTTCCTCATTGTTCTCATGTGTTGTTCGTGCGTAAGTTACTGCAGACACACCCTAATAAGTACACTATCAGGCTGTGTTTATCATGGCTTTTCTGCCACACTTTTGTCTGTGTATCTATCCTGTAAAAAAAAAAACCAGCCTGTGTTTAAACTTGCATTTAAGCAGTTCGACACTGGCAATGGACAATTGTGAAAAACAAGACACAGACAGTAAATAATATAAAAGTATGTCAAATAATATGTCTTCTGAAACTAAAACTAAAATTATATGCTGTGCTTACATAACAGGAAGGGACTAGGGAAATAAATTAATACAATTCTTGGTATTTCTCTTTGTACCTTGATTTCTAAGAAAGATAATTTTTAAAATGTACCACTCTAAGCTTTAACCGCTGCATCCTGCAAGAGTGGTTTGTAATACAGTATAAGATCAGGTAAGACCTGCAAGATCATGCCTAAAGACCTTATAACACTCTTAATATTAATATTACCTTAGTTTGATTCCAAGTAAGATAATGAGTTTATGCAAACACATTTGATTTGAGACAGGATACCAGACGGAGATAAGAAAGAGATAAGATACTATGTCTCAACTTTTGGAGATGTGGCAACAAAATTTAGACATGTAGGCCTACATCTTCAGGACAAAGGTTAACTATGTCGGTTAACTAACTCTGTTTTGTTAACTAACAAAAAGAACATTCATAAAATATATATATATTTGAATAAATTCACATATGAAAGATTTCGGATAGCCCAATCTGGTTGTGCATGAATACTTTGGTGACTTCTGCTGCATCACACGTTGAGTGCAGTCCTTTTTCTGTATACATATACTGTACATATATGTAACAACATCCAACTAAAATGTCTCAAGAAGTCTCAAATGTTTCATGAATAATGTTTTTATGCTAATCTTTTGAGAACATTATTAAATACCAGTTGACTGTTTTCAAAGAACATTCTGTTAATATTACTGGAAGAAAAAGTGTTCATAACTTAGATAAAAGAAATAGATAATAGAATAAGAGAATGTTATCCTAAGTACTGAGAATGTTCCCTGTTAGCTGGGTAGGAATTTATTATTATTATTATTATTACTATTAATTATAGGTTTCATAAATCAACCGGATTACATTATTAGGTTGGGTTGCTACTTTCACTGCAGAAAAATACCTACCCCTCAAATGCAGCTGTTATTGATGAGTCAGGCAGGCAGTATAGTATATAAATGTGAGCTCTGTAACTCTGCAATCATTGCACAGTGAGTTTGATATACAGAAAGCAGAAGATAGTCATTTAGGTTAATATGCTTAAATGTATGATTTAATCTTGTTTTTAACAGACAATGTTAACAGCAATCTCGATGAGTGCCATAGCCACCAATGGTGTAGTTCCAGGTAATTTGTAGTGTTTATACACCTTTGTATTAGGCTATATAATATTTTACAGTAGTTACAAACACACACAAATGTATTTATCTATTTGTTTTTAAATTGGCAGCTGGTGGGGCCTATTTCATGATATCTCGGTCTCTGGGCCCTGAGTTCGGTGGTGCAGTTGGTCTCTGTTTTTATTTAGGCACAACCTTCGCTGCTGCCATGTACATACTGGGAGCAATTGAAATATTTCTGGTCAGTCTTCTTATACTATGACAACACACACACACACAGATTCAAAACCTAAAATGATCCAGCTCTGAAAATATTAATTCATCAACTCTTTTTGTCTACAGAAATATCTGATTCCCCAGGCTGCCATATTCCATCCCGCAGATATTCATGCGGGGAGTGGTGCAATGCTGAATAACATGCGAGTGTATGGCACAATATGTTTGAGCCTTATGGCTGTAGTTGTCTTTGTGGGGGTCAAGTATGTCAACAAATTCGCCTCCCTGTTCTTGGCCTGTGTCATAATCTCCATTGTGTCTATCTACGCTGGAGCGGTCAAATCCATCTTCCACCCTCCTGAGTTTCCGTAAGTCTTTATGTTGCTAGACAAAACAAAACACAAAATGTAATATTTCAATGAAAATGTAATTAGATAAAATCATATATGATTTATTTAATTATTTGTTTGTTTATTTTTAACCATGTCTAGGATCTGTATGTTAGGAAACCGGACATTGGTTCGTGATTTGTTTGATGTTTGTGGGAAGACAGTAGTTGTCGGTAATGAGACGGTTACCAGCAAGCTTTGGAAGAACTTCTGCAGCTCTGAGAATTCCAGCAGTGCTCATTGTGATGAGTACTTCTTTCAGAACAATGTTACAGAGATCCCAGGCATTCCTGGGCTGGCCAGTGGGATCATTAAAGGTAAGGACACACTTGTCTGGTTCACAGCATGTCATCTTGGTAAAAAAAAAAATAGAAAGAAAACAGATTTGAAAATTATAACATATTTAAAGATGATGAAAAAGACTTTTCTTTTCCAGGCACTTGCTCTTTGACATGTATTGGCTTTGTATATCTATTTATTTATTTTATTTTTATGCATGTATGTGCAGAAAACATGTGGGGGGATTACATGGAGAAAGGGCAGATTCTCGAAAAGGCAAGTCTGTCCTCTGTCGATGTCCATGGCTCCATGGAGACCTTTGGCTTCTATGTGTCGGCTGACATTGCCACTTCCTTCACCCTCTTAGTCGGAATCTTTTTTCCTTCTGCCACAGGTAAAACTCATATGGTTAAAAAACATATGTATTTATTATTTATTACACCATCGAATACTTAAAGCAACACCAAGTAAACTGCGGTCGCCCTACAGGTTGGAAGCGGAATCGTCCATTTCTGCTGTCGTAAATAATTTAGCTTACAGTAGCGTAGCTACTGTCACACTTGCACGCATGCACATACTCTCTGTTTATCCAGCACCGGCTTTGAAATCATCATGACAATTCAAAAGCTACCTGGCTGCAGTTGATGTAAACAGCATAGTGTCAGTGACAACGCTGTAACCTGTCAATCCACTCTGTTACGTTATAATGCACTATTTTTTTTCTAAGTGAAAGTTTAAAAAGCTTAGCCGAAACTAAGTCCAATCATTATTTAATGTCCACTAATTTATTTCTTTGGCGAATACCTGTGTAATAAGCTGCAGCTATCTGCATTATCATTTAAGTATGTAAATATTATGACTTGATGAAAAATTACTTTAATTTCACTATTTTTGTCAATCTCTGTCTCTGTGACAGGCATTATGGCAGGATCGAACAGATCTGGAGATCTAAGAGACGCACAGAAGTCTATACCAATAGGGACTATTCTGGCCATTACAACTACGTCTCTTGTCTGTATCCTTTAGCTCTGTTGGTACTGATATTATGTTTTAAATAACCCATCTAACTAATACTCTTATCAACTGTATGTTTTATTTTTCTTTTCAAACAAACTGTTATACAAAGTGTGAGCAGTCCTATTTTGCATTAAAAGTTACGTAGAATTCCATGACTCATTTGATAGATTTCAGCTCTGTGGTTCTATTTGGGGCCTGTATTGAAGGTGCAGTGCTGAGAGATAAGTAAGTTATCTATCTAGAGTGAGCAAATAGAAACTTTTAGATGGAAACAAGCATGTGGTGTCTTAAGTGTACTTGCGTATGTCTTTTAGATTTGGAGATGCAGTCAGAAAAAACTTGGTGGTTGGCACACTGTCTTGGCCTTCTCCTTGGGTCATTGTGATTGGCTCATTCTTCTCCACAGTGGGTGCAGGTCTTCAGTCTCTGACAGGAGCTCCCCGCCTCCTGCAAGCCATTGCTAAAGATAACATCATCCCTTTCCTTAGAGTGAGAGATCTTCTGATTTATGATCACAACATATCTAAATAACACACTTTTTCATCATGTTGATGTTACTCATTAAAATAACAAGTACATAGAGTAAAATAGCAGCATTTTTATGTGGTTCAAAACACATTGTAGATATACTGAGTTTTAAAACTTAAAACAAGTCTGATAAAGTTGAATTCCAGTGAGATGTAAATGTGCGTATTGTGAGTTTCTGGATTATAGTTACTTCCTTTTTTGTGCCAAACCACAAATGCCATAAAAGCGAACATTTGCATGTCATATGCAAAATGTTGTTCCCAAAATGTAAATATTTGATGCTAATAGTTGACTATTACTTTCCATCCCTGTGTGTTCATGTTTTTGCACTTGCAAAGGTCTTTGGACACGGAAAAGCTAACGGAGAGCCCACGTGGGCTCTGCTGCTGACGGGACTCATAGCAGAGCTCGGTATCCTCATTGCATCACTGGATATGGTCGCTCCTATTCTTTCCATGTGAGGACACACCACAAATATGCACATACAGATTCAATTCACACAAAATAAATGATTTAAACTGCGTTTTAAGATGTCCTTTTTATATTGAACACCAAATGTTAATGGGTTTTTATTTATTTGTTATTGTTGTCATTTTTGATACAGCATATTTTGAAATGTATATTGAATTCTTTTGCAAATAGATCTCATTGGTAAAATGAAAATATCAATTTATAGTTGCTTATTAAGTTATCACCTTTTTATTTATATCGCACTTTATATAATACAGATTGTTTCAAAGCAACTTCGCAGTAATAAACAGAAAATGATTGATTACTGATGCAAACTTTATCAAACATGAGACTAATTCAAATGATGCTGTAATGATGCTCTACAGAACACAATAGTGTCATTATTATGCTTGTGTCAGTTCAGTTTAATAGCTATGTAAAGTTTAATTCAACTATAAGCAGTTCTATGAAAGTCAGTTGTGTCGTTGTTCAGCTTGAGTCAGTTGTGTTTAATCAATAGGCTATATGCAAGCATTACTTCCGCCTTTGACGCTAGGCTGCTCTTCAGTTTCCGGTTGGGGAGATTTAAAGTGGAGGAGAACGGGATTATGGCAGAGTCATCAAAATTTGCTGTCCTCCCGTCTTAGAAATGAAACTTTCATACGTATATAGTTATACGTAGGGAAATACGTCACGTACCGCCATGCATAGAGCCTATTCTGTTCAACAATGGTGTTGATGTTGCAACTTGCAAATTGGTACATTTAAAACAAAGTTGAGTCACAACCATGAGTTGTGTCACCATCCAGCTCAATTCTGTTAAAGATTTGTTCTTATCCAATAATGTCAGTGAAGTCAAATCGATAATTGTGATGAATATTAAAGGTATAGCGGAGGATCTTTCCGAATTTTAGAGAAGACCCGCCCTCTCCAATTTTTAAAAAAAATGCACATGCACAAACACAACACTCTTGCTCCCGAGAGCTAGGGAACGTCTATACGCCTTGCACAATTATGTTGCAAATTCTAAACTAACTAAAAAACATTCATAAAAAAGACAACATGTCAAATTTATTTACTTATTATACTGATTGATTGAGTGACTGAGGACTCAAGACATGATATGTGCAAAGCTCACACGAAATACGTTCTGAGGAAACTATTTTGCAAATCGCAATTACGTTACATGGCAACATATAAGCAGTGCTATTACGTTGGTCCTTAACCTAATATCTCTCATTGTTAATACGTTATTTTTATAGATAGTTGCATATGGAGAAGTAGCTTGTTGCATTTGTGTAATAATAAACACACAAGATTTTAGAATATTTCAGCGTGATACATTACCATTTTGGACAAAAGGCTACTTTAGACAAATTGAGATATTTACCGTGTCTATGCGGTGCATGAGGGCTAGCATTGTAGCTTGCATTAACTTTTACTAGTGATTTTAAATGGATTTCTCCAAATAGCGTGACAAACTTTACCTGTCTAGTAGAATCTTTGCGACTGCGGCATCAGTGAGAAGCCCAACCTGTGCTTTTAGCGCACGCCAGCGTGTGATATTCACCCAAAATCTCTCTGGTCTTGTTTCTATATTCTGCGGCCTTTCTCTTCTTATCATACACTTAGTAAACATTTTTTCTCTTTCGACCCTCAGCCATTTTCAAAGGAATGGCTGAAACCGTAACTCCGACATAATACACATGAAAGTGAAAACTACATAGGGATGAGTGCGTAGCCTACGATGGCCTTACGTAAACATATCACCAGAATGATTGACACTTAGGTGGACCAATAGTATAGACTACCCACCCGGAAAAAGAAAATCCTCCGCTATACCTTTAAGTGTCTTTTAAAACAACGTATAGGCTCAGCACAGATGCTATATCATCTTCTCAGAAATAAAAACGTTTTTTTACCCGTTAAACGCTAATTTACCCGTTTAATTTAATACCACATATTTTTTTACCTGGATTGCCATTACATGTATTACATGTTACTTATTCTAATATGTATAATTGTTCACTTGACAGGTTTTTCCTGATGTGTTATCTTTTTGTAAACTTGGCTTGTGCAGTACAAACACTTTTAAGAACACCAAACTGGAGACCACGGTTTAGATACTACCACTGGTATGTTTGCATTTCGATTGTGTGTTCATTAATTTATGTGATGATCATATTTGTGCATGTTCTGAGAACTTCTCTTGCAGTGACATTTAAATTCAGCTTAAACTATGATCACAAAACTCACTGGAACTTAACCCTATAGATATCTGTTATTCACTTCCTGCAATCATTTAAAAATGACCTTTATTAACAACAGGTCATGCTTTTAAAGTGTAGAGTAAAATAATAGGACTTTTTATGTTGTGCTCTCTCTTTCAGGGCTCTGTCTTTTCTGGGCATGAGTATGTGTTTAGCCCTTATGTTTATCTCCTCTTGGTACTATGCCATTGTAGCAATGGGTATTGCTGGTATGATCTACAAATACATTGAGTATCAGGGGTAAGTGATTCCTAGTTACATCCATTAACCTTACATTTGAAATTAAACTGAAATCACAAATTATCCAACTTTACTTTACAAATCTCAATCTTATATATTTTTCCTCTCTTTTAGAGCAGAGAAGGAATGGGGGGATGGGATCCGCGGGTTGTCTCTTAGTGCCGCCCGTTACTCACTTCTTCGCCTGGAAGCTGGACCTCCCCACACCAAAAACTGGAGGTTGTGAAGCTAATTTAAAATATTATCAGCTGATATTTTCCAAAAACGTCTTGGTTACGTATGTAACCCTTTTGCATGTAACGTCTTGGTTACGTATGTAACCCTCTTGAGACGTGTTGTCTCATTTGGTGTTTGGCATTTGGTGTTAAAGAAACTTTTTTTTCTAATTTATTTAAAAAAAGTTTGTGCTTAATATTTTTGTGGCAAACATGATGCAGTTTTTCAGCATTCTTTGAGAATGTTCGAAAAACAGCCTTTATAATAATTAGAAATATTTATAACAAAATAAACACCCACTTTTTTAATGTATTGCTTTTTATGTAATTACACTGCAATCACATTAAAATAAAATAATTTTAATAGGCCACAGCTGCTGGTTCTACTGAAGTTGGATGAGGATCTACATGTAAAGTATCCCAGAATGCTTACCTTTGCCTCACAGCTGAAGGCAGGGAAAGGCCTAACCATCGTAGGTTCTGTGATACAGGGAAACTTCCTGGAATGCTATGGGGAAACACAAGCATCAGAACAGGTTTTTACATGCACTTTTATCATCACCTTGTGCACTGTGCTCTTAAATTACAGATGCAAATACTGTAGTGGCCAAAAGTGTTGTCCAGCTTAGGAAAATTGACATTTTATTCTTCCTTAATATTTAAAATATTTAGCAAAATATGAAAATTTTCCTAATATGTTGATGGTTTAATCAAACTTGTAGAACCATTACAAACAATTATCCTCTCCAGACTTTACTTTTGGCCACTACTGCACAATGATCTTCATCCAGATGAACTGTAGTGGATGTACTTTGCAACATATTCAATATTTGTTGTTGGTCTTGTGTCTTTTCAAGAAATAGCAAGAGGCAACATTTATATATTAAAGTAGAAGCAATGGACATTGATTTCATAGTTGGTTTCCATGGTTGTGCTGTGTTTGTACTCATCACCAGGCAATAAAGAACATGATGGAGATTGAGCGGGTGAAGGGCTTCTGTCAGGTGGTGGTAGCCTCCAAAGTGAGAGAGGGGCTCGCACATTTGATCCAGTCCTGCGGTCTGGGAGGCATGAAGCACAACACAGTTGTTATGGGATGGCCATATGGCTGGAGACAAAGTGAAGACCCACGGGCTTGGAAAACCTTTATTAGTAAGAAAAAGATTTATATGAATTATGTGCACTTATAATTGTCTGCAATGAAACACAACAGGCTGATTTTAATCTACTCCCCTATCATATTCTCTCACCTGTAGATATAGTCCGCTGTACTACAGCTGCCCACTTGGCTCTGATGGTCCCAAAAAATGTGTCATTTTATCCCAGCAACCATGAGCGCTTTACTGATGGATATATTGACGTCTGGTGGATTGTCCATGATGGTGGAATGCTCATGCTCCTGCCTTTCCTTCTAAAACAACATAAGGTGAACAATAGCAATTTAAAATAATCCATTAACATTCATATGTAACATAAAATTGCTCACAGTATTTAAAAAATACTGTTGATAAGGGTAATAATTAGATTGATATAAGAATTATATCTGTACCAACTTTAAAAATATAACAAAGAAAATATCTCAAACAGGGGTGTGTCTGGTACTCACAAACAAAAGGGTGCTCCAGAAGGGGAACAAAACATAAAAAATGCTATGCTGATCGATCTACTTGTAGAATAAGGAAATCCACGTCCAGGCACTCACATAGTTAGAAAGGTAAAATGCCTTTTTTGTAAGAGAGGGCTGGGATCATATAATGCCATTTTCATACAAGTTAATTTGATTCTTTAGAGTCTAAATGATATATTTGTAATATGATTTCTCATTAGTGTTGTGTATTGAATTGAAAATACTCATTTTACCTGGAAAAAAAACATCTTTGTTTTCAGAACACCGTTTCAGTGTATATGCCTTTAAATGATATTGAGCTTCGCTCACTCCGCCCCTCTGTTCTGCGGGCGAGTGTTGCCTTGACAACAGTTGAGGGTATATTTTGGAGAAAGAATGGCAGTGGGAGTCTCTGAGGACACATCTGTGCAATCATATCAGTTTGAACCAGAGTTGGACCCAGAACAAGATGACGGTTGCAAAGAAGTTCAACAATTAAAGCTCGAACAGGACGTTTCTGAATGGTTGATAACTCAATGTCACTTTGATCTATCTTTGTGTACTGGCAGAGTAGAGTAACATCGTGAGATGTATGAACGCTATGTGCTTAGCAAAACCAGCTTTATACTGACCCTCGTTTATAAAGCAGTCAGAGAAAAGATTCACAAATCGCGCAAACATGAAAGCATTGAAGTTGCTCATAGGCAATATTCCCTTCGAAAACAAAACTTAGCCTTTGCGTCTTCAGCGGTTCGGATTTAGGAACATCAAAATGACTGTGTTCGTCATTACAGCCAAGAACAGAACACCACAATCACTTAGAAGCCATTCTGCTCCAGCGTATCAACAATGACGGACTATGATGACAGCTCGCTCAGGGCGGGGCTCTGTTGAATCGCTGCTGTGAATCAACAATCATGGGAGGGGCGTCCGAACGGCTCGATTTGAGGGAGGAGAAAACACACAAAAAGTTTAAAACAAAAACACTGGATAGATTTTTATCATTATATGATGGTTGTGTACAGGCACTGTCAACACACATTTCAGAACAATCAACTTGAAAAAGTGCATGTACCATTATATGACCCCTTTAAAAAAAAAAACACATACAGTATCAGCCCAAACAGGCCTTCGTTAGGGTTTTCTTGTTCTATAATAGGATCTGCCCACCATTTTTGATATAAAAAAATACTTAATAATAACCTCTTAATGAACATGCAATGTATTATTATGCCTTCTGTAATGATCGATAGATTTTGCAATGTGAAGTTTACATATTCAACCGTTGTACAGGCTCTTGAAAGTATGTAACTTTATAAATGTAATTATAAAGTTATTCCCCCCTTTGTATTATTGTTATTGTATATTTTGTTATTGTATTATATATTATTGTTATTGTATAAAGTACTTTGTGGTTGTGCTATGTTTATTTAAATTTGGTTTTCTTGTACTTCAGGTCTGGCGTAAATGTAAGATGCGAATCTTCACTGTGGCTCAAATGGATGATAACAGTATTCAGATGAAGAAGGACTTGGCAACCTTCCTGTACCAGCTGAGATTAGAAGCAGAGGTGGAAGTAGTTGAGATGGTATACAGAACACTTTCTTCACTATTAATACTTCACACACATCACAAATAGTTATGAAATTATAATTGCATTCTGTCAAATGTTCTTATTTGCAGCACGACAGCGACATATCAGCATATACGTATGAACGGACACTGATGATGGAACAGAGGTCACAGATGCTTAAACAAATGAGGCTCTCCTGTGCAGAGAGAGACAGAGAGGTACTGAAACCTTCACATTTATTATGTTTGCTCTGTACTAACATTGACTTTTACCAACAGAAAAATAATACAGAAGTCATTAAAGAATATTATGAAATGACAAATGATATTATCCCACATTTTGTAAAATGCAATAAAGTAAAGAATCTGCGATTTGTTAATTCTCTTTAACCTTTATTTAACTGAAAATACTATGCAAATAAAAAAATGTCCCTAACCAGCTTAAGTGCATTTTTGTAAATATAAATAAATTTTGATGGCTGCAACACACTCTAAAAAATTGTGAGAGACAAAAGTATAATAATAATTGTGAACAAACAAAAAATAAAAGCTTATAGAATTTCCAAGTTAAAACTCTTTTGAAACAGTCCACAATAAGAAGGTCAATTGGTAATAGGTGAGAGTATCGTGTTTGGGTGTAAAAGAGCTTATCAGCCTTTGCCAGCAAAGATGGGTCATGGCTCATCACTTTGTGCCAAATATTATGAGAGAATTGACAAACAATTCTTTGACCTTCTACCATACATAGTATTGTGAAAAGATTCAGGGAATCCAGCGAGATCATTCTGTGTGTACAAACATCAAGGCAATACACTTCTTTTGAAAGTGTTTGACCTTTGAGCTCTCAGATGGCATTGCATGAGAAACCATCATGCTACTGAGTTAAACTAAGCCACATGGGCTCGTGAGTACTTTGGAAAACTGATTTCACTTAACGCAGTCTGCTGCGGCATCAAGGAATGCCACTTGAGTCTCTATATCTCTTATGCAAGGAGAAAGCCATTCATCTGTTGTATGCAGTGATGATGCTGAGTTCTCTGGGCCCAAACTCATCTCAGATGATCCAAGAGACGATGGAAATCTGTATTGTGGTCAGTCCACATTTCAGCTTGTTTTTGGGAAAAACAAATTTCGAGATCTCAGTCCCAAAGGCTAAAGGGACCATACAGACTTACATCAGCGACAGGAAGAAAAAGCAAACATCTGCCATGTTATGGGTATTCATCAGTACAAACGGGTGACTTGCATGTGTGTGAATGTACCACTGACGTGGAGGCGTATATTAGGATCGTACAGAGACAATGCCAGGCCTCATAAAAAAAATAAAAATAAAAAAAAACATTTAAAAAGTGGAATTAAAAAGAAAGGTGATGTGACAGTGGTAAACATGCCCCTGTCCTAACGCTTTTGGAGTGTGTGCCGTCAATATCAAAATTTGTTTATATTTATATTTTCTTTGTCCTTTTGTCAGTTAAATAAAGGTTAAAGGGAATTAACAAATCACAGATGCATTTTATACAAAATGTCATAACTTTTTTGGGATTTGGGGTTGTGTAAAAAAAAATAAAAAAAAATATACGTATATATATATATATATATATATATATATAAACAAGTTTTCCTGAAGTAAAGTTTTTTTTTTATTGTAACACAATTGTTGAGATCCATATTGTTACTATTGTTATTTTTGAGATCCATATTCTTATTAAAATTACTAATTTGTGGACAAAAGGCATTTTGTGACATGTTGGGTGTATTTTTTTTTCTGTTATTCACAAAATTCAAAGTGCATTCACCATTTTGTCCATGGAAATCAGTTTTTTTTAAAAAAATTTTCACCAAATGTGATGACTACATTTTGAATGAAAAAACAACAGTAATAGTTGGCTTTTGTGTTTGTGTACATAATGCATTAAAGTGTAACCAAATTTCATGAAATGCAGAATTTCGTGTCACAAAATAAGTAAGGTCATACTTGGTGATCCATACTAGTACTGACACATTTAATGTCTTGTTGATTGTAAAAGCCAAATATATGCAATGGCAGCTCTTTAAAATATGGTCTCATTACTTTTCCAATGTAGGCCCAACTAGTAAAGGATAGACACTCACTGATCAGAATGGGCAGTTTATACTCTGATGAAGAAGAGGAAACCATTGAAGTATTACCAGAGAAAAACCAAATGACCTGGACTAGTGAAAAAATAGAAGCAGAAAGACGGAACCGAAGCAATGCACCAGAAAACTTCAGAGAACTAATCAGCATTAAACCGTGAGTAGGCAAGCCGGAACAAGAACTGGAATGCACCACTTTACAGTATCTGAAATAAAGTTTTTAAGTTTTACTTTTTATCTCTGAACAGTAGACCTATTTGCTTTTTATTAGTAAGCATAAAGAGGATCACTGAAACATGTTCCTTGTTGTTCTTCCTTTTTTACATGAATAAACTATGCAGGTGTGCATGCTTGTTTACTTTTAATGTAGCACTGCCTATTTTCCCCAAAAGCAAAAATTAGAGCCATAGTACTTTTATTTTATTTTACATATTTGCAAGAGATATTGATTTACATTAGTTTAAATCAAAACTATGTGTGTATGTTTGTTTGTTTGTTACAGTGACCAATCAAATGTTCGGCGGATGCACACAGCTGTGAAGTTAAATGAGGTTATTGTTAATAAATCCCATGATGCTAGACTTGTGCTGCTGAACATGCCAGGACCTCCACGTAACACAGAGGGAGATGAAAACTGTATCCTTCACAGAGAATTTTATGCTCCAAGTACAATTTTACAGTATATATATATATATATATATATATAATCGCTTGGACACATTTCTTAATATTTGGGTCACTTATTTTAAATGCACAGTTTTTTTTTTTTATATCAAAGTGAAACTGAGTTGAAACTATGGGAATACTTTGCATGATCCGGTGTCTGAAGCGCTTGTGAATATGCCAATTTTAATTGGTTACCGCAATTAGATGACATCACAGATCAGCTACAAAAAGCCACATAGAGAAAACATCAGCTTCTTTGACTTCAGGTTACGGTTTGTGTGTGCTTGTGAATGTCTTGTCAGAATAAAATAAAACATAACTGTCAGATTCATGAGATGTGTAACACTGTGTGTGGTTTATCACACCAGATAATATACATTTTAGAAGTGGAGGGGGTATGCTCACTGTGATACCATGGTGGTTTAGCAGGTCTACAAGGCCGATCTTTTAAAGGATTCTGACCATGCCGGAACGGGGCGGATAGTGTGGACATGGTAGAAGGTGGACATAGTCGCCATTGTGATCCACTCTCTGTCTTCTCTGCCAATACTTTTGCCAGTGGTAATCTAACGTCTCCTTCCTGGAACCATAGAAATGGGTGACCATTAGCAAGTCTTTCAGTAATGGAGCAATTGGAGAAAGTAATGCTTTTTATTGCCATAGAAGTACCTCTTTCTGGGAAAGTGAAGTGAAAGTGGCATGTAAATGCTTTAGACACTATTTAGATGCTTTTCAGTACTCTCTCACCAGGCTTCCAGAAAGCACTTTGTGGTTTTTCCTTAGGTACAGCAACAGTTGAGAGAGCTCAGATCTCTTATGAGGATTCAATTCCATTCCATTCCTTTGTATGGGATGCTAAAAGATTTTTTCCAGTGACTTTTGGGAAAGATCAGCTGACAACAGGGGAAATACCTTGTGGCGGCTCGAAGAGACAGCTGGCAGGAGAGAATGGACCCCAATGGGAAAGACTAGGGCTAGCTACCCTAGCTTCAACATTTTCAGCATGTTGGATAGCACACCCTCTACAGCTACTTAAACACAACAAAAGAGAATACCCCTAGAGTATGCAAGAGTGGTGGTGCAAGAAGTTTAATTGGCTGAAAATAAGGTAATTGATTCTGCTCATTGCTCTGCTAGTCTCAGGTCTTTCCATGCCTATCTGTTCACTGAGGAGGCTACCTTAAACAGCTGATTGAGCTAACCAACACCAGCTAGCTCGCAATGCAAACAATAGAGGAATGGATATTGCAATTCTGCTGCGGTTAGTGGCGTTCCTGTTACACTACCTGGATTTCTTCTCCTGTCTCACATAAGGATTGTACTCTGATTTTCAAATGCAATATTATTCCCATGAAGTTGCATTCTCTGTGAGGTTTCCAGATGAGATCCAGCGGTAACAAAGCCAGGCAAAAAGGGTGGAATTAGAGCCAGACTCAAAAAGGAAAAAATAAATAAATTGTACACTCCCTTTTTCCCTGCGTCCCTTCTATTTACCAAGATAATTTCCACAACTGTTTTTATTTGTCTACATTCTACAGTCTACATTCATCCCAGAGCTAAAGAGTACTTAGCCATTGACTGTTTTAGACAAATGCTAGATAAACTTGAATTAAACTTATACCCCCAGACGCCTCTAAATTTATTCTTCAGTAGGTGATTTTAATCACTGCTCAGTGGACAGATCTCTTAAAGGTTTTTATCAACATATCAACTGTCCAGGTAAGACACTGGATAAATGCTATGGATCAGTGTCAGAAGCATATAAAGCCACCCCCTGCCCCCTCTTGGTTCTGCTGAGCACCTTGGCATTTTACTAGCCCCAGCATCCCTACCAGTTGTGAAAAGGTCAGAGGGAGGAGGGACATTAAGCAGTGGACTGCAGACAGCATCAAGGAGCTGCAAGGATGCTTTGAGACCACTGACTAGTCCATACTGACATCCTATAAAAGGAGATAAAAGAGCAAGTGGCTTTTCGTAACTTAAAGGAGCAAGTGGATACAGTATAATCTATGTCTCTTTCTGTGTGGAGACAGTAATATACCTACTAAGTGGGTCACAATATTCTCTAATAACAAACCCTGGGTGACCAAGGACCTAAAGGAGATTTTGAATAAAAAAAACCTTCTTAACTGGCTCTGAGCTAGAAAATAAAGAGGTAAACAGAGAGGTCAAGTGTGCCATAAACTACACAAAACAATGTGGAGAGAACATTTGCTCAGGGCAATCTCCACACTTGGCAGGGCCTTAAAAGTATGGCAGCCGTTAACTTCAGTCCTGGTAGTCGCAAGCCCATCCAGGTTGCAGGCTGCAGCCCGACCTCACTACCTAATGACCTGAACATCTTTTTCACCAGATTCGAGAAAGATAACAGCTCTGATCTCAAAAGGTTAATTTCCTCACTCAAACCTGATGACTGTGACATCACTATCGACACTGGAGAACTGCTCAGTGCCCTCAAGAGAACCAAAGTAAATAAGGCACCAGGCACAGACAATTTCTGTTGGTGGACCATTAGGCACTGTGCTGAGCAATTGGGGGGTGTACTCTAATACCTGTTTCAGTGCTCCATCAACCGCAGCACAGTCGGTTATTCCCAAACCCAAGAAGGTTACAACCAAAGTCATGAACGACTTCAGGCCTGTGGCCCTAACCTCACTGGTAATGAAGGCAATGGAGAGAGTCATAAAGGACTATACCAGGCTATCAGAACCAATGATGGATCCACTCCAATCTGAATATCGGGAGGGCAGGGGGGGTCGACGATGCAAACATTTTCATCCTAGACAATATCCACAAACATCTGGAAACCCCACAGCCAGACTTCTGTTTGCTGACTTTTCATCGGCATTATGAAGGAAGTGATATCAGGAAGAGGCTGTATGGTGGGCCAAGTCAGTCTCTCTTGGAAAGCAGGGGCAGTGGAGAAAGTGGGAAATTGTCGAGAAGAGGAATTTTACCTGGAAGGATCTGTGGGTGATGGAAGCAGGTTGGTTGAGTTTTACAATCATCATCATGATCAATCATGATCCAGAGTTTGCCCCCCTCTGTTCCTTGCCAGCTTCCCTCAAACATATACTTATAGCCTGTGAGGTGAGTCTCACTCAGGGACGATACACCTGGCAACACAATCAAGTCCTTAAGAGCCTCGCCTCCATTCAGGAAACTAAACAAACTGCTGAAAACCATAAAACCTGCACAGGCGATTGCTCTTGTCTCCCCACCATCAGAACAAAGCCAGCAAGTGACTGAGTAGACATCAAATGCTGGTTGACATCGGCCAACAGCTGGTATTTCCTTTAGAGATTGCTGATCCCTCCTTAAGACCTAATTTAGTAGGTTTACATTGTCGAACTTTGCCCTGGGAGGATGGGGTGAAGGAGTCATTTGAACACAGACACTATGCAGAGCTAGCAGCTCAGGCACAGTATGGCAGCTGGAGCACTAAACCCTGTGAAAGTGGGGTGTAGAGGCTTTTTGGCGGCGTCAACTACCAGACTCCCCAGGGACATAGGGATTAGAGGCCGGAGTTTACGCCTTGTCATCAAAGCAATGTAAGAGTTAGCAGAAAGAAGTAGCCAGTGGCTATGGATGAAAAAGCAAGATCCTAGCTGGGCCCCACAATAATTTAGTGGAAAGGCAGGAAACAGAGGGGGGTGATTCTGAGATGCCAGAACTCTCTATTGAGCCCTCTGAAGGCATTGTGGGCTTATCAACGAAACGATGAAGAAGGGGACCCACTTGAGAGCTCCTCTGTCATCCTTTTCTCACTAACTTGTCTCTGTGGAGCTGCTTCAACCACCAACAGCAGTTTCAGGTATATCCTAGCGCAGAGGATTGCAACATCGTATCCTGTTAAACTTGTGACAAAGCAATGATAAATTATCCAGAGTTTAGCCCACATACACAGCTGTTGTGCTCACTGTGTAAAGAGTTTTGAATTTGAGTTTTGAATGTTTAGTTCTGGGAGAATATTGATAAATCGGCCAGAACAGATTTCCTCATTTGGGCAAAACTGCCCTATTATCTATTGTATTAATGTATCCATACTTGTCTGGCTGTTTCTTTAACTCATAAGTTTCAGATATGGAATTTCTTGAGGTGTTGACTGAGGGTCTAGAAAGAGTGTTGCTTGTGAGAGGTGGAGGTCGTGAGGTCATCACCATCTATTCGTGAAAGGCCAAAGATCAATTCATAGACCACTGTTACTGTGTGTTACTGTAAGCTATATTTAATGCCAAGTCAAAAAAGGGGTATATGCATACTGAACATCTTATGCCAGCCTAAATATATAATCAGTGATAAACTGAAAGGCTCTATTCAATACATTAATTTCATTTTAAATATTTCAATAGCATGTTAGAACCATTTCAGATGTGTATCTTTTCAACTGAACTCATTCCACAATCATGTCATAACATTTGGAATTACATTGGAATGTAGGCCATGTTTACTAGACAAAATAGCAAGATGATTCCAGCAACAACAATGCTTACGTAAAACATTAAATAGTGTACATTAAATAATCTCTTTAAAACATTTGAGATTTTTCCACCACTACACTACATATCTCTGGTGTGGCAACATGCACTTTCAAGCAAGCTAACAATCAATTAGAGAATTGTGGTTTGGGCATGTAAATATATAAAAATATTTCACAACCGATAACAGTGACAAATTTTAAAAGAAAAAACAAAAAAAAAACGTTACATGTGCTTTTAATATATAAAAATACATGCAAGACTTTTTCTTTATATATATAGGGCGAAATACATGCAATTATCATGACTTTCACTGGCCATGTAACAGATCTAGTGCTTTCAAGTACATTCAAGACTGACATTCTATTGCTGAACTTAAATTTCCATTTGAGCGCTTCTATTTTTTATAATTTATTTTGTCTTTATTATTTATTTGAAGAAACTCCCCATTGTATTGGATGTATTAGCTTTAGAAAACAACCAAAGGAGCTGGAATGGGATATATATTGGATATGAATAGCTCTGTAGATTTTGTAATTTATCAATTATTTTTAAGAGATTGTAAATGAACAGTTTTGCTATTTTCACCGTACTGAATTTTAGTACGCAACTCGCATTGAGGAGGAGACATTTTGGATACTGATACAAAGTCTTTATTCTTTTTTTAGGGTATGATAACTGTACAGACAATATACATTTGTTATACAAATAGAAGAAAATATGAAAGACTTGACTAACAACATTTATATCTGAAATATAAAGGCAATGATCTTTTAGCGGTTGTATAGTATTACATCTGTATATTGTTCCTTGTCTGGAGAAAGACTAAACACTACAATGAAACATGCAGTTGACTTATGTATAAAATATGAAAGTTACAATAAAGTGCACTATGAATTGCAGAATCTGCTATTTGTATTGTATAATTGTATTTTTGCCAGGGAAATAAAGGCAATCTTTAACTGCAAACCTCATGGTTTAAAAGAAGGTAGCTAAAAACAGGTGGTATTGCGTCATAAAGGTGAAAGGTGAGTATTTTTTTCCTCATTTAATAATTTACATAATATAGTATTATGTTAATATAAAATTAAATTAATATAGTATTATCGTATCATATTTTACAAAGTATTATTTGTTATATGCAGATAAATACAAGCATACTTTATGGGCTCCCTTGTGCTTCCAAAAGATTAGTTTCTAAGTTTGAGCAGTTCAACGTGTCAACTTGCTCAGTGGTTTGTGTTAACTTATTGGTCCAAGGTAAGAGAAATGTGTTCAGAAACAAATAATAAAAATAATTATTGTTATACAAATGATAAATAAACAATAATTTCCTATATTTAAAGCTACTACTGCCACAAAAAAAGAAACAGAACGAAAGACACAGATGATGCATAATGCAACAATGCAGATTGTTTGTTATCTCGTGAACTGAACACAAAACGCTATTTTTATTCATTTACAGAAATGTCATCTGTACACTATAATGGTTTATTAATATACAAAGCTAAAGTATGGTCTTCTTCAGAAACTGTTACAAAACACTCCAAAACAACACAAGTTTCCAATATTCCAAAGTGTGAGTTTCAGTCAGAAAATTTCTTGTCTTAAGATTTAAGTGTTGGCAAGGCAATCTCAAAGGCAGTGTCTCGTACAACATTTGATTTGTATACTGTCTCTGGAAGATTCATTGTCTTAATATAGATACAGTAACTGGATTAAAAGTATGATAAACCAGGGGATAGCTCTTACAGGCATCAATGAAGCTTTTCCATTTCGATAGCTACGGTTGACCATGACTGGATTAGTTAGTATCAGACGACAGCTGTTGTTTGCTTCCAAAAATGGGATTTCAACTTCGCTGGGTAAAATGTATCGCATATCATCACGTACCTGAACATAGGGAGAGAGAAAGAGATGTGAAAGGTGTTGTTTATTTCAGCAAACACATCCTTAAAGTGGATTAAAGGACTGATGATTCTTTTTCATTTTTTTTTAAAAAAGTTGTTTTGAAAATTTCCAAATATATAAAAAGATGCCAATCTACAAAAAAAGCAAATTTAAGTTACGAGGAGACAGGGTTTTCAGCTAGTGGAAGTGATGCGTAAGGCTAATGAAGAAAACAGTTTGCATTGGTTGTGGTCCAAACTAAGTGCAGATAGATTACATCTCTTCAGACTGAATGTGCAGAACCAGTGTAGTGACATTTGGAGGAAGCTTATCACACCTTATCTAGAAGAGCATGGTATATGGTGTGATATGAATATGTATATTTTTTGCGTCATGGTATATGGTCTGTTTGGTTTTGAAGCGGTTCACTGATAACCAGGGATAGTGGGTAATACAACATACAGATTTGAGATATAATGCTCTTATTGCAATAACAACTGTAATTCCACAGAAGGGGTCAGGTGATGGTGGAGAATGAGAAAATATAAAGTTTTTTGTTTGTTTTTTACGCAGCTGTAATTAGTGTGGGTCTTAAGTTTACAGTGTTTTAGATAAATTAATGGGGATCATTGTGTGCAGGATAGAGAGACAGTAGGAGTTATACTAGGTGCAGACTGATCTCATGAAGTAGCGTGTGTATGACACGCTAATTCGTATTTCCATTTTTGGCGTGCTATCAAGATGCATAATCGCCTTTCAGCGTGTTTATGAACGCCGTTGACTTAACGTTATATAAATATATGACTTACCTCAACCCCGTCCCTAAAACTAACCGTCACTGGGGTTAATGGCATTTATGACTGTTCCCTTACCATCCTAGGTAAAAAAAAAGATATGACTTACCTCAACCCCATCCCTAAACTTAACCGTCACTGGGGTTAATGGCATTTATGACTGGAGATTTGAACAGACACGCGGACATACATGCGGATACACGCGGATAGCTCAAAATGCGTAGAGATAACACGCCACCTGACTCGAAAGTGGCGTATATGTTTATGCAAAAGTCATGATGTCATGTTGACTAGGTGTGTAAATATCATCATAGTAGTAGAAGAAAGGAAGAGGCAGAGGAATAATATAATCCAAGAATGTGTACAAAAAAAGCTTAGGCAGTGATTTGGCAGGACTGTCTTTTGAAGACCAGTGCCAAAAAGAAAGTAGTCAAGAAGAGAACACCTTTAAAGAATTAAAAAAGCTTTTTGTGAGGACTTTGACCAAAGATAAAATAATCAGTAGTCAGGAAGGCCTGTTACATCAGAATAGTCAATCCTGTAGCACTATAGAATTCTGCCACAAGTGTAGATGAAAAGCTACAGGCGTCAGATGGGTGCTTAGGATCGCACCAAGAAGAAGCACTCTGTGGATACAGTAGCATCGCAACAGAACGTTCAACCCAGGGGGACCCCAGTGGGCAGCGGCCCCGTCGAGGGAAGGAAGGCTGGAGGAGATCAACGAGGGATCGCTGGAAGACATGGGGTCTTTCGAGGATATTGAGATCTTCTGATGCACATCCGGGAAAAAAGGTATTGGAGTGGACGCCGGCAGGAATCAGCGGCCACACCCAAAAACCAATCGTCCCGGGAAAAGCATGACCATCATCTCAGGATCTGACCCGACAAATGCCATGCGCACACCCAAAAGTGGCAGCACTGTCTTATCTTCACTTCCTGAAGATTCTAGCCCACCCTGTGATGGACAACAGATCCAATTCTGGAGCATCAAGGGAAACCCGCGGGACATCCGAAAATAGACCCAGGGAATCCTTAAGCACTCGCGGGTTGCATCACGGAAGAGTGACAGTCAGCGGTTTTGTTTCACACTCACAACCTAGGGTCACCCTGGCCACCAGCCGAAGTAGCACCTCACATGGAGAGGGTTAGATCGGGGTGTGGATGATGGGATTCTCTTTCTAACGAGATCATTGAGTCTCTACCGTAATGACACAATAGTCACTTTTCCGCGGGGAGAACGCGAGTCATCCACAAACGCTGCTCTAGCGTGATCAAGCCCAAGCACCCAAAGCAGAGAATGTTCCCATCAAAATCAGAAATGAGTTGACCGCAACCAGAAATGCACGGGCGAGCCATCTTTAAAAAGACGTGCCACGTGCAAGCTCTTTGGTGAGAGGAGAAAAAAACTCTGCGACGTTGAAGCGAGCAGGGAGAAACACATTCACTGGCAGATCACTGCACAGATCAGCAGGCAATGTGATCTCGGTGCAGAGCGCCGTCACACCAACACCGGAGAGAGTGGCTTGTCTTGTAGAGTGAAGTCAGAAATGGCTGTGGAATGAAGAGATACTCTTGGCTCCGAAGCGAAAACATGTCTTATTTCAGCCGGCGTCCTCCTTTTACACTCATGAGGTAAGGTGGAGATACGCTATGCAAATTTCACAGACCCATGGCATTTCTTTGCCATTGGCTCATTTTATATTGATCGAAGCTGATAGGCTTTCTAAGTGAAGCCCCATTCGTCGTCATCCGACGGAACTCGGAGTGACAACGAAAGGGAACTATGGAATCACAAAAAAAAAAAAAAACTAACACAACAAGACCTTTTGGAAGTGGAACCTTTATTTTTAAGAGTGTATGTTACGTTTGTTTACTATGTGTGCGCTACAGAATATAGTTGTACTAACCCTAAAGATGACCTGATTGATAGCAACTTTTACTGACCTAATCGAAATGGGAACTGAACAAAAGAAATTACTTCCTGACCTTCTCAACCTTTTGGAACACTCTGAGGAAGTTCAGTCTTAGCACTCCTGCCAGCTCTTCCTCACTCCAGTTCCTTGATATCAGCTCTTCAATTAGTGATGGATATTTGGAGACATCCTCAAGTCCTTGAGGGAATCTGTGAAAACACAGGCACACTTTAACACAAACAAACATTTAGTTAAGGGACACAAGCCACATGGAATCTGAATGCTTTTCTTTGTGATTCTTAGGTATATGTGTGGAAATCTTTGGAATGAATTTAAATATTGTAAAATGTGTTTAATGGTGCTAAGATTCCTACAGTCTTATTGATAGATGAAAACATTATCAAATTAGTCAAATATCTGTAAATGGGCATGCAAGGGGTGTAGCATGCCCATTTTGTAACTGTAAAACAGTTTGGCATAAATTTATGATGTTTTCTGCAGAATACTGCAAGCATGGACTCCGTAGAGGCACGTTAGCAAAGAAGTGTGCATTTAATGAGTTTTGTGTAATGTAAATATAGATATAGATTAAATTTTTACTTGCCCTTGAGCTCCATCAAAGTCTGCTCCAATCCCAAGGCTTTCGGTGCCAATCACATGTTTTATATGATCAAAATGATCTAAAAAAAAAGTTTGTAATGAAAACAAAATTTAAAAATGTACTTTATTATTATTATTATTATTATTATTATGTCTGTTGTCTTACCAGCCACAACAGATATGTTTGTGGTATTTGAACATGCTACAAAGCTTCTGTAGAAATTCACCATGATAAGCCCACCATTCTCTTTCTAGAAAGAAAGCAAAGTTTGTCCTTTTCATAATATCAAACATGTTACGTAGGTAAAAGTAGAAAAGAGCATTTTAGAGATTTGGAAACTGGATTTTTTTTTTTTTTTTTTACTATGTCTAAAGCCCTATTTGGACAGGACTAGTTTTCTAAATGAGTTACAATTCTCACCCGATGTCGAATTCACATACTGATTCGGCGGAACTAACATCTTTGTTTATTTCTAGATGTGTTTTCTAGATGTGGGCATTACATAAGTTCATCTGCTGTGCTTGAATGTATCACGTATGACATATTTGTCTTTTAAAGCTACACTGTGTGATTTTTACCCCCATTTAGTGGTGAAAATGTATATGACCATCCAGTGAATATTAGTTTCTGTTCCTCTCAATTCCGATTTCATTTTAACTCAAACGTAAACGTGAAAAACAAAGCTTGAATTAACGTGTGTATGTCCCTCTTTGGCTAATGTACTTTCAAGATGGAGGGGCAACATGGCGACCGACATTAGAACCCCTTACCCGTATGTATTTTCAATGGCATATTATACACTCACGAGAATACTTTATTACTTGAACGAAGTAAATGTACATTAATGAGCACATATATTTGTTAAAGAACTAAGTGTTTTTAGCTAAGAATAAACTAAAAGAGTTACACAGTCTAGCTTTAATGAAACCCTATATAAATAAACTTCACACAAGTACAGAAGTGGCTGTTTATAATAAACAAACACAAGTGAGCAGGGAAAACTCGATTGATCATATTTTGTTGGAATATATTGAAATTAAAGCATACGGAAGACTGGTGCGCAAACAGTTTCTCAGGTAGGTAAAAAAAACAAGGAGAATCGCTGGGATAGTACAAAATCTGCAATCAAAGATATTCGCATTTGGACAGGAATACAGACATTGCCGTTTCAGAGGGTATTAATTACAAAGTATGGCTGTCAAACACAAAATTATCTAACGTCCTCCAGGAAATCTAGTCCTGTCCACATTTCAAGTTCACTTTAAAATGAAAATTACTCCGTGATTTACTCACCCTCAAGCCATCCACACGACTTTCTTCTTTCAGACAAATACAATCAGAGTTATTTAAAAAAATATCCTGGCTCTTTCAAGCTTGATAATGGCAGTCAACTGCTTGAAGCTCAAAAAAAAAAGTGAATCCATTTATTTCATTTTATTTATTTATTTGACAGGGACAATGCAAACAAACATAGTGTCAAGACCAAGCATGTCACTGAAGTGTTGCATATAAAGTTTATAGCTATTGCTAATTTTCAACTCCTGTCCCTGAAACATCATCATAAACAAACCTGCATCATAAACAAACTCCAGATGGTTACCTGGGGGTTAATAAAGTTATTTTATGATGGATGTATTCACTTTTTTTGAGCTTCAAACTGTTGGTTGCAATTCACTGCCATTGTCAAGCTTGGAAGAGCCAGGATATTTTATATATACGATTGTATTTGTCTGAAAGAAGAAAGTTATTTACACCTAGGATGGCTTGAGGGTGAGTAAATCATGGGGCAATTTTAAAGTGAACTACTCCTTTAATATAGAAAACCGAACAACAATCTCACCAGACGCAGTAGCAGGTCGTCGGGTACATTGCGAGTATTGTTACAGATAGCATAGGCTGACGAGTGGCTGAAAATAACTGGAGCGGTGGAATGGATTAATACTGCTCTGGCTGTCTCCCAGGAGCTATGGGACAAATCAATCAGCATTCCCAACCGGTTCATCTCATTCACCACTGCCTGGGGTAAGCAGGTAAAGATAGACATTAGGAAATTGTTAAATTTGTTTGTTACTAATGCAAAGCAGTTAGTTCTAATCCATTATGTTCAATCCAAATCACGGTAGTTAGTGTAAATTTGTATCATGTACATCAAAATTAATCAGTGCCAAAGTGAAATCTACTGAAAAATATAAATAATAATATATATTCTGATAATTGTTGTTACACTTCAAGAACAAGTATAGGCATCATAATTATGAAAACAATAGATTCAGATTTTGAAGGTTTTGAATATTTTTTAAGAAAAATGAACTACAGTACAAACAGGATATAAAATCATGATCATGAATATTTTCTCCAAAATCTAAGGCATTGTTTATCAAGAAAACGGTCTTTAACCTTTTAGTATTTTTTCGTCTCTAGAGGACACGAGAAGGGATTGGGGAAGTCAAAATATTCCCCATTAAATACAGCTGTAACTTTCTATTTTCTATCTAACTTTCAACTATAACAATCTCAAATAAAATTTAATCTTCTAATGTCTTCTAATATATTGATATATTGATTCACTGACTCATATCCATCAATAAGAAAGCCTTACCTTGCCAAATTCTGTCAAGCTGTTGCTTTTCCGGTGGTAAAATGGGTAAAAACTAGATGAGGTCTCAGCCCTACAAGTGACATTATTGAAGAAAGTTAAATAACTGAACTATATAAAATAAAATAATAAAAATAAATATAGCTGTGAGCAGCGATTATGGGCCCAAGTCGGTGGCACCGCAACCCGGTGCTGCCGGCTTTGGCCCTTCATCCTATATATACAGACGCGGACTGGCCATCTGTGTGATCTGGAGAATCACAGAACGGCCGGTACTCCAGGACGGCCGTCGGGCTGGAACACCCCCCCCCACACACACACACACACACACACACACACACACACAGTCACAGACCTCCCAAGTCTCCAGGAAGTTCCAGGAGTCTCCCACGTATTAATAGCAGCTTCCTGATGTCCGCAAATTAGTTAAAATCTCCCGGAATCTAGAGTGAGGAAGAGTGTGCATGCGTAGCGAGCACACAGCAGAGAGAGGGAGCAAATGAGAGAACTTGCGTGTGTTTGCAAGTGTGCTAGCGTGCCTCACAAAGCGTGTGCCTCTGACAGAGAGAGTGCACCCTGGCATTCGGCCATTGTGTGTGTGTCTGTGTGGGGAGAGGAGGGGGATTTCTCTGTTGGGTAGAAAACAAATGAAGAGTTCGGATGCAAAAGCCTCTAAATGCCATTTGAAATGTTCTTCTTTAATGATGATTTTTTATCAAACTTGTATATTTAAGTTCAGTAATTTCACTTAAATAACAATTAATAGGTAATTATCATTGCCATTTAAGTGAAATCACTGAACTTAAATATACAAGCTTGATAAAAATTATCACTCTAGAAGAAAATTTCAAATGGCACTTAGAGGCTTTTGCATCTGAACTCTTCAAATATATTGATCATATAATGATCTGAAATATAGCACATTCATTTTAAATTCATTTAGGTTCGATTCAAAGCACAATTAAACCACAATATCTGACTTTTTCTTGGTCGGACCTAATGACAATAAATTAGAAAGTTGTTGGGCTTGATGAGAACAATATACACGGCAAGTTTTGTAACTGTTAGTAGAACTAACTAAGTTATAACATACTTTATGTGTCATTTTTTAGTCATAAAATTCATTTCCTCGCAACGGCCAAACCGTTTGATATATCAAAAATCCCTCCACAATTTAGCATCCTCAATCTCTTGACTTCATGCACACCGAGTTTGGTGGTGATTGAATTAAGTTCATGTGGGTTGTCTACAAACCGAAAGGTTGGTGCTTCAATCCCCGGTTCCACCTGACCAAGTGTCGAGGTGTCCATGAGCAAGAGACCTAACCCCAGCTGCTCCCGATGAGCTGGCTGGCGCCTTGCATGGCTGACACCGCCGTCGGTGTATGAATGAGTGTATGAATGGGTGAATGTGAGGCAAATGTAAAGCACTTTGGTGGCCATCAGGTCAATGAAAGCACTATATAAATGCAGTTCATTTACCATTTACCATTTATCAAACAACCCATAATAGCCAACTTCCTGTTGGACAAGCGTGAAACTTAGAGCACGAAAGTTGTTTGGCGTGATGAGATTAATAAGTGTACAGAGTTTCATATTAATTCATGCAAGAGTGTTTAATATATGGATCAAGTTTTCAGACCCCATTCAAGGGGGCGCTGTTGAGCCCCCCCTGCCACGCCCGGGAACCAGTTTCGGCCTGGCCCTAATGGCTGTGCGTTCTGACCAGTGTGAAAAGACTCATACACACAGACACTAAGAGACTGGCAAAATTCTGAGATTTTCTCCACATTCAAACCAAAATATCTGAATTCCTGTTGGTCGGAGCTATTGACTATAAATTAGAAAGTCGTCCAGCTTGAGGAGTACAATATACATACCGATTTTTTTAACAGTAGATAAAACTAACAACCCCACTTTTGTCAAAAGGTGGCGTTACTGAGCCTAACCCCACTTTTGTCAAAGGGTGGCGCTACTGAGCCTCTCACCACGCCCGTTTCTGAAACTTTGCACATCTACTGGCTAATAAATGTGACGTGTCTGACAAGTTTCATGCAATTTCAAGCATGCTAAGAGTCTCAAAAGCATCCAAAAAGAATATTAAAGTTTAATATGTTGTCATAGCAACAGTATTTAAGATAACAATAATCCTTTCACAGGTCTACATCTGGCGTTTGTTTATGTTATACAAAGTTTGAAGCAAATCAGGTATAAATAAGAGGGTGATTTCAAAGCATTTTGAAAGTGACACACTTCCTGCTGTCAGTTGGTGGTGCTATAACTTTACCTCACAATAGTCACATCCATGTGATCGGCCTCTTACAGCGAACACATTGCTGAAGCTTTATCAAGATCAGTTTATATATTCTAAAGTCATAATAACACACTTCCTGTTTCCATTATTCGCCATAAATTCTACGCCACGGCCAAACCGTTCGAGATATCAAAAATCCTCTGGCAATTTTTCATCCTCAATGTCTTGACTTCATGCACACCGAGTTTGGTGATGATCTAATGAATTCCCAATGAGAAGTGTTTCAAATTCTTGAGCATGCATTTCCAAACAACCCAAAATAGTGACTTCCTTTTGGGCTGGCGTAAAACTTAGAGCGCGAAAGTTGTTCGGCCCGATGAGATCTATAAGTGTTTGATATATGAACAAGTGTTCAAACCGAGCCCCTATGCCACACCCGAGTACCAGCTTCAGCCCGGCCCTGATGGCCGTGGGTTCTGACCTGCGTGCAAAGTTAGAGCACGTTAAGGGCCCCAAAAGGGAGTAAATAATAATAATAAAAAGATGAAGAATAATCCTAAAGAAAACAATAGGGCCTTCACCTTTTCTAGACTTGGGCCCTAAAAAAATGAAGAAGAAGAAGAAGAATCCTAAGGAAAACAATAGGGCCTTCGCCTTTTCAAGGCTTGGGCCCTAAATAAATAAAATAAAATAAAATTCAATTCTGGGACAGTATGTCTGCAAGTATGCAGATTGTGTTACATTTGGGTTCCTCTCTCAATTCACTATTAATAAAGCTGTTTTTATGACTGTACACTTCATTATTTTTATAAGCCTGTGTTGTACATGTATGGTGAGTATTTACCATGGCGTGTTGCAGGTGTGTGTGAGGGCCATGGATCTTACTCCAAGCTGATAGAACATGCGTAGTGCTGGTAAACTGCTGTCGATGGAGTGGCCTCCCTCCACACTGATGAGACATGCGATTTTTGTACTATTCCTCATTCCTTAAAACATACACACAAAACAACTGAAAGACAATAATCTGAGCTTAATGGACAGTAGTTTTCATTGTAAATTGAGGTGAACATCATGGCTGAGCACAGGTATTCCCCTTATTCACCTGGTGGCCATTTTGAATGGCTTTAATCGACAGTTAATAGGAGCCCATCACACATATTTGTGAGGGCTAGGTCTTCTCCCTCGGTGCAGAAAAATGAGGCACCTTACAACATAAAGGAGCTAAGTGGATAAACTAATAAACTCAGTTTGCAGAGCAGTGCCACAGTCAAACCAGCTTGCTTCATTATGAGTTCATATCTACAATGTACCTTTCCCTGTCTGACTGAAAGTTGTTGATGTAATATCACATAAACCTCATTGATATCCACTCAAATATTATAGTTTCAAATTAGCAAAGCCAGACAGGGCTAGGTGCATATTGCTATTGCTTGTTGACAATGATAGTATAATGACAGTATAACTATCAGGTAACACAGCTGTAAACAACCCACCACTACCAGCATGCAGCTGTAATTTTTTGCAGATGTACCTAATTCACTGCACACTCAATAGTGGGTAGCTGTAATATTGCATAGTATCTCTTCTCATTTCACTTACACTGCAAGTATAGGAAAGATTCTTGTAAATTGGAATGTGCCGGTGATAACTAAGCACACATCCTCTCTGGACTTCCGTTATCTTTTGTAACAATGAAGGTACATTTATCTCATTAAGATTTCTATTTTTCTAGTCTCTCTAGAGAGACTATCTATGTGCAAAACAAAGAAACTTAAAGGCATAGTTCACCCAAGTCCAATTCTGAGAGGGAAAAATACTTTATATCTCACAATTCTGACTTTATAACTCGCAATTGCATGTAATAGTCAAGCCCCATTTACACTGCCAGCGACTTTGTCACTCTACTGTATGTCGCTAATCTCAAGACTTAATCTCAAGATATAAACTTGCAATTGCATTTGTAGTTTATTTCATATCACGCAATTTTGATTTTATAACTCACAACTCTGAGTTTATATCACAATACTGGGTCTGCAATTACTTTATTTTTCATTCAGTGTCAGAATCAAGCTTCAAAGGCAAACCACTGCATGGAAAAAAAAAGAGTTGACATGAGTGATTAAATGACAAAATTAAATTTTTATCTGGGTGAACTATCCCTTTAAGCAACAAACTACAAGATACATGCCATGACATGATGGTGAAGCCTGTGTGCAATGGCAACAGATACTTGAATAGAATAATCTATTTTTTTATAGATTATTCTGCAATGAATGGAGAAGACATGTCTAAACTAGAAGCAATATCAGTCACGGGAAGACAAGACTGTGTCAAATATTTTTCTACCAGCTGTCTCTCCCTCAAAAAGTGTTTTTGTTTTTTTTTAGATGACATACCAATCTATAAACGTTAATATTACAGTAAGCATTTCTATTAGAATATTACTTAAATGATCTAAACTGTTTGTCAGTTTGAGGGTGGTAGTACCTTCAGCTGTAGTGACCAGTTCCAGCTCTGGGTTTTCAGTACATACACGACGAATTAGATCAATCTGCTCCAACGTCAGTCTGACAGCATCCTTATCCTGAGCCGTGCACAACACGTACGCTGAAAAAACCTGACAAATATCAAGGGCTTATTTCTCTGGAACAAAGTTGCAAAAAAAAAAAACAAAAAAGTAGAGTGTGGGAAATTCACACGCATCTAAAGTGCAGTGTTATAGAAGAACCATTTCCTTCTTTTCACATCCAATATCCAAAAAAATGTGTTCATTTTAAAAAGAAAAATAATTGTCTTTTCTGACATATACTCCAGTTCTTATTACACAGCAGACATGCAAATTCTGTGCATTTTGGGGACTTTTGTGTGAAATCATTTATTTTGTCCATAAAAAGTGTGCTTTCACTTTAATTGAGCGTGAGCAGTGCAGCAATAGACTCTGCGCCGAAACCCATGCTTCACTGCTGCTCCTGCTCCTGGTGTGAATGAACTGATTGATTTACATGCACGCCAGAAATAATATGCGCCGCTCACGTTTGTGTTGTGAAACGGCCGTAATTCACAAGGTTTCCTACATGTGCGTTTCTTGTGCACGTGTGATGCTGATGTTGCGTGATGTTAATCATGGGGTGCCGGAGTGCATTTGACTGGCATTAAAATCGGCATATATCAGACTGACCGGCCGGCCGCCGATCATGGCAGATCACGTGAACATCGGCCAATTCCGGTCACCAGCTGATCAATCGGTGCATCTCTAAAAAAAGGCAACCTGGACACTCACTTGTGGGCCCAAATTGTTCAAGGAATCATTCATTTTAAGAAAGAGTAGTATAACAACACTTTTTGGAACAATTGGTTGTTCAGTGAAAATAATAACCTAAAGAAATTACAGTGTGATTTAATCTACGCACCCCCCTTATGTAAAAAAAAAAAAAATCAAAGAAAGATAAATCATATCAGAACTTTTGCTCCTTCATTAAAAATTGGAACATCTGGAAAGCCAATGATACCCAAAGTGGCACATTTCAGAGACCCGTGTCCGAGCTTTGGCTGGGCCATTCCAAAACATTAATAAATCTTCGCTAAAGCCATTCTTTTATTGATTTACAAGCATTTCAGAGGAGAGTGGAGTTTTAAGACAATATAATGTTCGTTAGTGTGAGGGGAACTAAATTCTAGGTGTAAGGAGTTGTTCAATAACAAATTATTTAGTATACAGTTAGTGTGAATTTCTACAAACCTAATAATTATATACTGTATTTCTTATGAAACAGTACAATTTAGAAGCTATGTGTGAATTTGGGGAGTTTGTGGTAGAACAAATTTGAGCACCCAGCACGTGATCTGCGTCTTTAACAAGGCAGTACACACAAATATAGGTTTGTGACTTTGTGAAATGTACAAATTGTAGTAGGTAGCAAATCTAAGTACAGGATATTTAAAGATATAAATTAAAGTCGGGATCGGAAATTACCTGCCCTCCAACATGACCAGCAGTGAGGCGCCTGATATCTGTAGCCACATGAGGAATGTTGTGCATATTGATCCGGCTCAGTTTGTTGTTATAAATTATTCTTAGACGTAGTGCAAGGTCATTGTGTCTGAGTAAAGAGAAAGAGAAGCAGTGTGAAATAAAAAGACATCACAGCACCATTTTAATAGCAGTTGGTGTACTTATTTGTTTGATAAGGTAACTACAACCCTCTCTGTGAGTCATTTGCCATTCATACTGTTGTATTTAAATGCTTGTGTTGGAGGCTTTGTTTGGATTTTCTGTCGAGATTTTAATAAACGTCGATAAGGTTGTTCAGTTCACCTGCCATAGCAGGTCACACAATCGTTCAGGGAGGAAACTGAACAACGGAATACGTTTTTTACCTTTCTTTCTTGGAAAAAAACAACAAGGGAAGCAGGTCGAGGAGCTGACGAGAAGACGCCGGATTGCGTGGGGTGCCGCAATCATGGGGAAAAACTTTACTTGTTGTCCTCCACTGCATAATACGTTTGTTAAAAGTTGTAAAAAGCAAGAGGTTGTGTATTGTATATTCATCGATGACTAACAGTTAACAGTTAGGAGGATAGTTGAATTTGTGGTTCATGTTAGCATATGATAATCAAATTATATTTATTTTGTTTTAACTTTGCTTTGATATTCTGTACATCTCTTTACGTGCCTTTTTGAAAATGTGTGTGAATCATGTTTTTATATAACTGCTTAATAAATACATTAAGTGACTTCTCTGTTTCTGTACTGATTGCATCCGCAAAGACCCTTTAAGTACACATAAATGGGCAAAGATACATCAAACTATTTTAAAATAAACTGTCAACATTAAATAACGACAATAAGGAAGTTGTATTTAACAAGTTACCACATCTTGTGGCATTCTGAAGTAATGTACAATTTTTTTCTTGCACAACCAATGAAAACTTAACATATGCTGAAAATAGCAAGTTAACATTAACTATGAGAGCTGCTTTTCAGGTAAAATAGCTTGAACTTTATGTACAATAGTAATCAACTTAGCATTGGCTTCGAACACCAATACTAAATCAGATGTATCAACGTTGTTTATCACAGATAGTTTGTCCAAATAACGTTTTTTGGCAGTGGCATTTAGTTTATCCTGGTAGGGTCCCTTCTCTTCTTCTTTAAACATCACCATTTCTTCCGTTCTTTTTCAATTTTACCTCGTTTTAGCCAAACACCCACTATTATACCGAAGGTAAACAGAGATTGTGCCTGTAAAGATGGCCCACGTCCCATAATGCAACACGGCGTGACGTACCTCCACATTCACGGTACCCCTTCAAATTACAGTCAATCATACTTACCAGATACTTAAAAGTCTAAAAGGGGTGGTATTTTACGAAAGACAGCTTCCAGAATCTCCACCGAATTCAATGCCGGATACCCTCGATCGAAAAGCTATGCATTTTCCCCATAGACTTTTAGAAAATCGCAAAAAATAAGATCTGTGTCGTGTGTTTAACTACGCCCGTTTCACACATACTCCGTTTGCAGTGCGTATGCGGTGAGTGTTGCGGTGCGTATCCGGTACAGGTGCCGCACGTGCTAAAGTGCTTTCACATATGCTGCGTTTGCATTGCGTGAGCTGTACCACAAACACTCGCTATTTTTATTTTAAAATCACAAGTTATGCAGCAATAGCGTGACCAGTGACCAACAGTCCTGTTATCCCAGTCCTGTTTTCACGTCCTTCCTGGCCGGTTTTTATAAAGTGATGTCCTGGTTTTCCAAAAAAAAAAAAAAAAAAACGCTGGAAAAGATCAGCTTTATAGCAAAATATAGGAGATGAGCAGACAAGGAGGATGAGGAGGAAAAACAGGATGAGGAGGAAAAACAGGATAAAGAGGAAGGAAACTAGTTCGTTTTTGTACGTTTGTGAGAGGTATTTTTGTTCAATTTGAAGGTATTTCTTTTAGTTAATTAATATTGATATATTTATTTTTTCTAATACAGAAGAGACATTATTTTTTAATCATTATTTCATTCATTATTTTTTAAACCAACTTGTCATAATAAAACATGTTGAGTATCCTCTGAGAAGCCTATCTGATTTTGTGTCTTAATACAACAATTTTCTATCCACAGAGGGGGCATAGCCTATTTTAATTGTATTGAAATTAACAAGGCATCTTTGAGTAAACTTCGAGTATCATTTGTTTTCTGCATGGGCCATGTGTCCTGGTTTTTGGTAATCAAAATATGTTCACCATATGCAGTAACTTTTTTAAAAATAAAAGTTTTGCCATGGATTTGCGATTCTCTTTTACAAACTTGAATGGACGCATGCTCGTTTAAACACGATTTAAACAACGAATGCATACAATTCCATGGATTACTTGTATATTAAGATGTCTTAAAGTAAAAATATGAAACAATTAAATACCTTTATGGAGAGATTACTACATTTTATTGAATTAAATGCATTTATGGTGAAACTACTACATTTCGAGGTCAATCTGAGTTCATTTTGACCACGAACCGTGCGCTGTCACTTTATTTCTGCGTTTGCAGCACAGCAGAAATAGACTCGGTACGGAAACGATCTCTGCACTGCTGTATACGCACCGCAACTGGAACGGATCGACGGACTGCATCCGCGTGCAGTGTGAAAGCTCTAACCTGTTAACATGGGTACGGAAAAAAATACGGACCGCATACGCACTGCAAACGGAGTATGTGTGAAACGGGCGTTGTGACCCTTACACGTGTTGTCTACCAAGATAATCTTTACAAGTTTTCCATAATGTATACATTTTGAAGCCTATATAAAGTTTATAACTCTCATAGTTAATGTTAACTTGCTAACATTGTGTTAAGTTTTCATAGGTTGTGCAAGAAAAAAATTGTACTTTACTTTATAACACAAGCAGACACAATAAAGTTTAAAAAACCACAAGCAGGTTATAACTGTGTGTTCTATGTCATAGATCAAAACGTGAAAATATTTAGAGGCTTTGTTCACCACAGACCTTATTTCAGGCGATTTAGAAAAAAAAACATTCAAAAATCCCATAGATTTTAGAGCGAGGGAACCGGGAGTGCTAAAATGCTAACTTACTTCCGCGTTTTGGCCTACAGAGTGACGTCATAACTTCGGCACTCAATTGAGGCAGAGGTTAGCGGCCTCTTTGGTCCATAGAACGTAGTTCACGTTGATTTGTGCATGTGAAGTCAGTTCTCATGCTGTCTAATTATCAACATTGAGGCAGAGACCGAGATTTCTTCATATCACGTGATCCACTCGCTCTCACTCAATCTGCGCCTCCGACTTTGCTCTGTATGCATGCACGCAGCGATGTGATGATGCCTGACATGAACTTGGGTTGCTACATTAACTGAATGACTACAGTGGCGTAACTTTGTTTTAAAAAGTGGGTGGGACAGATACAATATGTATGTGTGTGTGTGTGCGTCTATGTGTGTATAATTGAATGAATGAATCACATAAATAAATACATAGATCCGACAATTTGATGTGTGTCCTTGTAAGCATGTAAGAGGTTCTGAGTTCTAATCTGCTCTCATATAGTTTTTTTTTTTTTTTTCCCTCATCAAAACCGAATACGTTTATCAGTGGTTGTATTGTATCAAACAGGGACACGTTTGTGTGCATTTTTGTAGGGACACGATTGTGTGTATTTTTGTTTTGTGATTTCACCGGAACGAACAAAGAGTCTCCAAGACAGACTGAAGCGTGTGTGCATGTGAAGACTCCGTGAGCCACGAGATGCATTGTAACCACGCTACCGAACGCAGCGGCAACGCTAGATCACCTCTTATTTAACAAACAAAGGAAATTAATTCTCTGTTGTTTATTTCGATTGGTAGCTACATTCGTGCCGGAAGAGGTTTTAAAAAGTGGTGCGGACAATATCGACCCTGGCAAAAAGTGGTGGGGACATGTCACATCCGCAACTTACGCCACTGTGCCACATTGATAGCCTACCCATGATAGTATTTCACCGCACGTTACTGCTGCCTTGCTATACATTAACTTATCCCTTACGTATTCTGTCTGTTCAGCATCCTCCAACAAGAAAAGGTGGTGGTGGTGGTGGATTTATAGAAAAACATCAACCAACATTGAATATCCAAAATTATTATAAAGTATATAATAAAAGAATACTTGCACTATAATGTAAATTAGAAGTGTAACACAAAAAAATTGATTTTCCCCCTATTTTGAATTGTACTCGAATACAAATACTTTCCCCCCCTCAACAAATACAAATACAGGCTGCTTTGCACACCCCTTATATATGTATGTATGTATGTATATGAGTGTGTGTGTATATATATACACTTTAAAGTGCATATTAAAAATACAAGCGAGTAAAAAAGTGAAAAGTGAGTCCTACCCGTCAATTAGTGGATATTTTGTCATTATATCCAGTGCTCTAGTGGTTTCGGATATTACTCCATGAAGAAGTGAGAGAAGGCTGCATATGAACCACAGTTTCCATGTGCCTCTGATGCCGGCTTCTTTATATATTAACATCCTATGGTGCTGATAATAAAAAGTCATAAAGGATTTGCTACATTAAAAATAATTCAGAATTTGCAAGAGAATGACATACACAGTAACAAGTTTCAAACCTGTTCAAAAGAGCATGCATTTATAACAAAGATATAGATAAAGGGGAGACCTGGACTAGTTGTCACTAGTTCTATATTTCAGCTCGATTATAAAATCTATTTTTAAAATCTTTTTTCAGGTTGCTCGTGCTAATTTCAAAAGTGTCCATTATTTCTATTGTTTTATTTATTTATTTTATTTTTAAAATAGTTTTATCGTTATTGAAACATACTGTAACTTTCAGACTCCTGAGATCTATAAAAACAATGATTTAAATAGATAAAAACAATGATTAAAATGGTGTCAAACAGGGTAATATGTAATGTAAAATTCAATTACGAATTTTCATTTTATAATTCACTGATAACATGTATGTTGGCCCGAACAACGATAAGCATGTGCATTTCATGTTTCACTAGCATTGAAACGCTCTAGAACATACAGCTTACAAAAAAACTAGATTAGCAACTTTATGTCAAACCTTTGTGTCAAAACATTAGCCCCATATAGCCTAATGTAGTGTGATAACATGCCTCGTTACGAGTAGGCGAATGAACTAACGTTAAATTATTAAGTTACCTTCTAAACGGTAAAGATGTTCCACTGGTCTGTAAAAAAAGCAGTGAACGCTAAAAGGTGAAACAAACGGCTCAGATCTCCCCTACTCCGTTATGTCAAACTGAATTAAACACGCCTGAATTTAATGTCCATTCGTAAAATACACCATTATAAAAATCACTAGCTACTCACCGAGTCAGGAAGCTTGCTTAAATGTACTCATGGACGTGAAAATATGTTAAATGCTCAGTGGTGTAATCCGTTTTTGTTTTGTTTTTTGTGCGGAACTTGCACATGTTTTTTTTTTTTTTTTGCTATAGCCTATGCAAGGTTGCCAAGTTTGCGTAACAAAACCCACCCAACCTCGAACCAAACTCCACACGTTCCGGGGGTAGCACCCCGGTAAACATTTAGTAAACATTTTTGTGCTTTGGCCATTGTGCAATGTAGCCTCTTTTAGTCTTATTTGGCAAAACAAATTACTTAAATATAGGCTACAGGCAATAGGTAAAATACAAATAAAATAAACATGCACACCTGAGACTTTCACTGACTTCCATATGTTATATTTTTAATATTTTTGTATTCTTTGCTTTTGTTGTTGTTTTATTTCTTACAAATTTGCTGTGATTGTTTTATGGTTAGTTTTTAAAATCCTTTTAATGTAGGCTAACTTTTAATTACCATGCATGAAATGTGCAATACAAATAAACTTGCATTGCCTAGATGACAACTTGAACTCAATGATTCATTCTTTTGATCTGCACAGCAATTACTTTGAGTAGTGTATATGTTTTCAATGTGTAAAAAGCTGTACCATCAAAATAGAAGAGGTGACTTTGGTAATTGATTGGAGCTCTGTTTGTGTTTGCCACAGCAGCTGGGCCCAAATTGACTGACAATGATGCCCCCTCCTGTCTATTTCTGGTATGACTGTAACTCACATTTAAAGACATCCTACATGGGACACGACAAATTCTGCTCTAGCCAGGAACGCAAGCACGACCTGGGAGCACACACAGATATCAGTATCTTAGAGACCATGCAAAAAGGTTTCCTAGAAAATTGTCCAAATCTGAATACTTTGTTAGTCACCCATTCAATTTAGTGCTGCATGGGAGATTCCATTCACATTCAGTACCATGGGTGGATGAATAATAAACTCTTATCTATCTGAATGGGCTTTATGCACAGCTGCACTACTTCCTGAACTTCAGCCAGCTCCTTGTTTCCTGTCTGCTATTATTAGCTAAATTGATTAATTCAGGTGTGCTTGTCCTCAGTAGTCAAGGCAACAATGATCAAACACACCTGAATTAATCAATTTGGCCAATAATGGCAGGCAGGAAACAAGGAGCTGGCTGAAGTTCAGAAAGTAGTGCAGCTGGGCATAAAGCCTATTGTGGTAATTTTCATACTTGTGAAAAAGGTGCCCACAGGGCAGTTTGTATGCTGTGTACATCTTTTCCCGCAGCAAACAGCACATCTGTCATCATGATATTTCAGCTCTTCCATTGTAGCCATAGAAATCCTGCCAAGAGATAATATGATTTGTCTTTTTTTCACTTTAGCAAATTACTAAAACAGAATGCACATACAACAGCTGTTACCTTACTTATGAACAAAAATCAACAATCAGAATAAAACCAGCATACAGCATATTAATACAATACAGGTTTAAGAAACTTCCATATCACTAGCAATATTAACTATTCAAACCTTGCAGACAACATTCCCACATTTAACATAGTAATTCTAGCAATGTTTTTAATAATTACATTTTAAAAAATGTGTGTACATTTATAAAACTGTACTTTTGGGTTATAATACCTTATCACCAAATTACAAAAAAGAGTAAAAAATAAAATAAAATACTTATTATTAAAAAAAAAAAAAGATCTTGCTGTTGGAGAAAATTGGAACACAAAAATCCTATTTTCTGTAGTGTCCAGTTCACCACTATAGAAATTTAGCCTAACTAACTATGTCTCAAGGCTTAAAAGTCCCATAACACCTATACCTCATGTCCATAACATCATAAATATGCAGGTTTTTGTGTTGAAGTAACTTGTGTTGCATTTCCTGAGACAAATATTCCCATAGAGCTAAAAGGCAAAAACAAGAAAATATGCGAATTCTTATTTTATAGTAATAATAATAATAATAATAACTGTTTTGTGTACCTGAACAAAATGAACATTCAACTAGCAGGCACAAAGCCTAAAAAAAACATTTATATCCTATATCCTATATTAAGAATATATATCCCATCTCCTATAAATGCTTATAACAAGAGAATTCAATATCACATCTTATGGGTCTATAGTTACCAGAGGTGTAAAGTACTTGAGTAATTCTCCACTATTACACATGAGTATTATTTTGGGGAATTTGTACTTTATTTGAGTTCTGATAAAACCGAATCTTTTTTTTTTTTTTTTTACCTATTATTTTTTAATCCTAGTGTGACTAGCCAAACATCATACATGTTGAACTTTCCTTTAATTTAAACAGGCAATAAGTTTGTTATAAATAAATGAGTAAATGCTGATAAAGCAGCATTTTTATTTTCAGAAGAATAGTGCACCAAAACATTTTTTGTCATATTTTTCCCACCATCATTATATAAAAACCTGCCAGTGGATCACAATAGGAAAAATTCTGAAGAAGGTTCATGCTTTTCCTGACCACCATGTAATGAACTTCACAGATGTATGTGTGTGTGTGTGTGTGGAATGTATATACAAGCACTTGACACTTTATTAGGTACACCTTGCTATTACCGTTTGGACTCACTTTTGCCTTCTTAACTGCCTTAATTCTATGTGCCATAGATTCAACAAGGTACTAAAAACTGTCCTCAAAGATTTTGGTCTGTATTGACATGATAGCATCACATCGTAGATGCTGTAGATTTGTTGGCTGCACATCCATGATGTGAATCTCCTGTTCCACCATATCCCAAAGGTGCTCTATTGGATTGAGATCTGGTGACTGTGGGGGCCATTAAGTACAGAGAACGCATTGTCATGTTCACTAAGCCAATTTGAGATGAATTGAGCTTTGTGACATGGCATGTTATCCAGCTGAATATAGCCATCCGAATATGTCACTGTGCATAAAGAGATGGACATGGTCAGCAGCAATACTAATAGGAAGGCTGTGGCATTTAAACGATGCTCAATTGGTACAAAGGAGCCCGAAGTGTGCCAAGAAAATAGCCTCCACAACATTATACTACCATCACGGTCGAGTAGGACCCGGGTGGAGGGGTCACACCAGCATGAACCATTGATACAAGGCATAATGGATCCAATGCTTCACGTTGTTTACTCCAAATTCTGACCCTATCTGAATGTTGCAGCATTTGAGTGATTCGAGTATGAGTTGCTATGGCGACGCGTCTTATGAATTTTGAATGCAAATATCAACACTTTGATCGCTGTTGGTTGGTTGAGAGTCGAGGCGATTTTCAGAGAACAATTGTATTGTTCTTGTTAGCAGGAGGATGCCAGGCCCGACCCAGACACAGAGCCAGGAGCTTATTCCTGGATATGTAACATCGTTAAAGTCGTTATTTTTGTTTATTTTTGCGCACAAAAAGTATTCTCGTCGTTTGATAAAGTTAAAATTGAGCCACTGTAGTCACGTGGACTATTTTAACGATGTCTTTAATGACTTTTCGATGCCAGCAAGACTCATTCCCTCAAGAAGCCTATGGACTATGCAGGAGCGATCTTAATATCTTAAATATCTTAATTTGTGTTCCGAAGATGAACGAAGGTCTTGCGGGGTTGGAACAACATGAGGGCGAGTAAATACTGACAGAATTTTCATTTTTGGGTGAACTATCCCTTTAAGTTCTTTTGATTGATACTGTGAAGCAGATTTGATAGAATCTGTATTGTGATTCTTTTTATTATTCTTGTATAATGTATTCTTGTATAATGGCTGTTATTGTTCATTAACTTTTATTGTTCAGTAAATAATATTTTGTAATAATAATATATTGGCGTACCTGATTTTGAGAGATGGTGTGTGTGTGTTCGACTGCTTAACACTGTGATTGCTATCAGGAAATGAGGAGACTTTCAACCCGCATAATAAAAAAAGAAAAGAAATTGTAGACAGTCCCCTATTGCACCTCAGCATTTTCCACACACTTTTATCTTTATATGGAAAAAAATATCCTCTATCCACCTTATTTTTATTTAAAAAAAAAAAATGTAATGCCAATATCAAAAATACAAGTACATAGCAAAAATGTAAAAGTAACATACAATTAAATGATAATAAAATCCATATTTAAAACATATATATATGGGCCTATACATAGAGGTTTCATATAGCTTATATATACATGTAAAAACAAGAAAAACAGAACAGAAAACTTTAATGAAATGAGTTAAAAAGTTGAAACAAGGTTACTGAGCTTTAAGATTCTCAGATGATGAAATATTTTGGATGTACTGTTGGACCTCTCTCCTAAAAACAGTGAATAAAGAGTTTTGAAGAGAGAATTTAATAGCAATAATAGAATAATAATAAAGTATTCATTTGTTTGAGCTTTTTGTATATTAAAAAAGCAAAATATTACATCCTTAAAAAAAGAGAGAGAAACCCGGAAGAACATTGCAGTTAATCCAAAATTGGTCAAAACAGTTGTGTGTGTGGACAATCCCAGAAGATGTGAAGAGCAGAAAAAAATAATCACAGTATTCCACAACATTCCATGTTCAACACAATTTTACTGAATTATGTGAGTTAGTGTTCTGTGAGAGAATAGGTTCTGTAAGCCCTTGACCTCTAATGTTTGAGAGGCAAATGCAGTGACCAATCGTTATTATGTTTTTTTTTTCTTTTTTTTTATTTATTTGATTTTTGGCATTGGGTTAGCATTGACTTTACTTTTGTAACCCCATCCTGTGCAAACAAACCCCCTAAACGTTTGCAGTAGCCTGCTGCCTCCGTGTTCTTTTATCCTTTGTGTGTGTTGTGCATGTCAAAATCGATTAATAAAAAATGTATGTTCTTAGAGTTATTATTACTCGACAGCACTTAAATGTGTATTCTTACAAGTTAAAGAACAATATTGTGAAATTCCCAGGGTTTTTTTTTTTCACCTTTATGAGGCAAAAAAAAATGGCAGACAAAAGTCTCTGTGGCAGGTGAATTTTTAAATCCACCTGCCACAGTGGCCGATGGCCGAAAAAGTTAACTTCAGGCCCTGGTCGTGTTGCATAGGGTTGCATAACTCTTCGTGAAATGTGTTTACATTTATTAGAGAATGTTCTGCAAAGCGCCACAAGGTGGTACAATCGAGTCAACAATTAGTCTCTTTCAGAGCGAGGTTTCCTGTGAATCAGAGCCACGGCTCTGCTGTGAATGCATTGAAAATTGTCTCATGTGTGTATATATTTGCTTTTATGTTCAGATCTTTTAATATTTCACTCCAGTATACATCAAGCTTAATGGCACGTGATTATCATTGCTTTTACATGCTATTGTTGTAGCCTATAGGCGAAGCTAATTTAAAAATAATATAGCCTATGTGACAAGACAGGCCTATTTACATATAAATGTACAAATGTGAAATGTGACAAATGATACTGATATTGAAAAGTAACTCAAGGCTAATCAGGCTAATTATTATTGAATGATGTCTTCTTCTATCGTTCCACTCGGTATTGGCGATTTCCAGAGCAATATGTCCTGTGGTTCTCAAACGATTCAGAGTAGCCTGTTATATCAAGCGACGTATGACGTCGGCTACACACGTTTTTAGACGCACAAAGCTGTATTCAAAGTGCCACCAAACCAAAAGAAATACAACATGTTGGCATTAAAATGACCTTTTATACATCTATAATTTTACATTCACCTAATATTTTAGTAACGTTATTCTCACATTAGGCTACAAAACTGTCTCGTAAAGTTAGCTCCGTGCGCGCTGATGGGACTCGAGTTTATTCTAAGCGCGCTGCAGTCATGCCTGCATGTGCGGCGTATTATATCAACAGCGCCAGTCAAGCCTGTCGGTTTCTGCAATTCATGTTAACAGGCAATTCATCAGCCGGTTGATTACAGCGCGCGGCGAGCACAGACGTTGCTAAAGGCGATTGCGACGCTGCTGTGCGATGCCATTCATCAACGAGTGACAGCAGCAACAAAGGCTCGAGCTGGAATGGAGCGAGATGTTTTTGATTAAACGCTTCCAAGGAGATGAACCAAACAAACGTTGCCATGAACGAGTGTGTTTGGTTACAAACACACAGAGGGCAGGGGGAGGCTGCCCGAGCCAGGTGCCGGGCCGGGCCGGGCTGGGCTGTTGTGTTTGTGTATGTGCCGGTTGCCTCGGCAACAGAGGGACCGGCGTCGACGTCCAGTCTGTCCCTCAGGGGTGACTTCGGACAAATGGACCGCCGTTCTGTAGCTACACACGCTGATCTAATACGGAATATGGCAGTAAACAGCGTTCAGCAAAAGGTCGTGTTTTGACCCTGTTATCAAGTAGGCCTATTTAGTTATATTTATTTTTACCACCGTTTACAGCAAATTGCAGTAGGCTAACTACTGTTGTTTTTTGTTTGTTTTTTTTTTAATTATTTTTTTATACTACAGTCTATGATATTTTTGGATGTTACCATGGTTACAGTGGCATATCTTTTTTGAAGCTATATATATATTTATCATTATTATTATTATTATTTTACCCCAAACAGATGGGTCACTAGATTGGGTTATTTTAAAGTTTGTTGAGTCGTTTTTTTTTGTTTGTTTGTTTTTACATACAGCTGATGTCCAACAGCAGAGTTAGTATTTATATAACTCTTATAATAACAATTATCATGGGAACTGAAACATTAGCTAGATGTATTGTAAAACTTTTTTGTATAGGCTATCTGTTGGTACTAAGAATTTAACTCCCGAATGCTGTGTCAGCAGGAAAAAAAGGCTCTATGATGGATTTATTTGACCAATGTAGTCTACAATTGCTTAATTTTAATTAACATAATTTCATTTAACAACTTCATGCAATTCCCAGTTCATGGACCCCTGGTTGAATTTTTTTACACGATAACATGATGGATGTGTTAAGCATGCTGTATGAATGTGAATAAAGTTTGATAAAAGTGCAATAAAGTTTGTGTATTTTATTTGTTTTTTAGACCAAAGTATCAAAACGAAACTTAAAATAAAACACACCAAAAGATATTTAGTAATGGTTTATACAAAGGCAGTTTCCAGTTTCAGTAATACAGTAAACTAACTACAACAAAGATATGACATTGAAGTTTTGGAAATAATTTTAGCAAACAACAGAAGGGTAATTACTGACTTTTAGCAATGAATCATGTTAGAATTTAGATGACTGCAGGGGATAGACGTACAGACTTTACAATGGCGTGCACTGTAAAGGTTCTGGATCACGTCATTTTTTTCACAACTTTAAAATTGTTTTTGTCTACTCCAAGCTTTGTTCATCAGCTGAACAATCGGTATGTTGTTAGACAACATTGAACTATTCTATCCCTCACAGCCTCACTTTCATTTCTATCCAAAATTAAATGTGGCACTACCTAAGGTCTATACATAAGTTAGAAAAAAAAAAATCTCTTAAATTGGTTATTGTGTTCACTAAAGAATAGTGATGTTCAGATGCACATTTCTCATAGCTATTAAACAGCAACATAAAAACAAACAAGTACATTACTTATCTGTTTCCCTTCAACAGAGCCTACATCTTTACTTCTTCTTATACCCTAACCTTCTGTCAACTTTATAATGAAAACTGACTGTAATACTATGTTCTTTATCCTTAAAGACGAACATTTACAACACTTCCTGTGTTACACTGCATAGTGGCTGTTGGATTTTACAGGTCAAAGTTCAAGTTAGGCTTTGGTCCAGATAAGTGCTGATGAACATGGAGCTCAGAGCATAGAACATGTTGATATGGAGACAGTGAGGCCTTACTTGGCCTTTGTCTTCTCCTCGTAAGTCCCGGCGTTCTTGTAGGCCCCTACGTAGCCTGTGTGCTCCACAATCTCCTCCCGCCCACCTTTTCCTTTGCCTTTCCCACTCTGATCAAAGCGCTCCTTGTGCGAGCCAGTATATTTAGATGTGTCGGTTAACCTATCCACCGCAGGCGTTTTTGCCACTTTCTAGAATGGTTAAAAAAAGAAACACACAAATGAATAAGGAAATGAGAGAGAGAGAGAGAGGCCTGTTTTAAAATCAACAACAGTAATATCATAAATGGAAAATCAATTTTAAAAAAGAACTATAAATTACCCTTAAAATGTGCTTCATCAAGCTAGCACTGTTGTTTCAGCCTGCCCCCCAGCAGAACATTTTCAGTCACATATGCATCACATATTCCTGCAACTCTTTTTGAACTTCTAACTAGTTGCCAGAATAGGCTATGCCGTGCGTCACGTGACCAAACCGGAAAACGGGTCTCATCGCATCCGCTTGTCAGAGAAAGTGTTAACGGCCGTAAGAACTGACTACGATATCTATGGATATTTAAGGTAATCAGCTAACCTACCTAGTTCACTTTGTTATTGGCGTTTTATTACATTTAAATATCTAAACGTTACTGTGAAGAATAAAAAATATAAAACGTTTAGCCTAAATATCAATCTGCACATGTGAGGGATATTGGTTATGCTAATCTTTGTTCGCTCCTTTTAAGTTATCTTGAGTAAAACCGCAAAAAATTTCATGAAGCACATACAAAAGACCTGGACCGGAAGCGATGCGACCTGTTTTACAGAGAATGCGGAAGTAAGTGCATAAAGCCTATTGATTTATTGCTGTTTGATTTGTTACTGCCGTCTGAGGAGCGATGTGGCAGTACCTTTTTTGTGTTTCTCAATCTTGCTCTTGGAGGCCCAACAACACTACTCATTTCAGTTGTCTCACTAATTTGACACCCAGTTGAGTTCATGGGGCACTCTACAAATGAGATGATGAGTTGAATTATGTGTTATACATGGAGACATTCAAAATGTTCAGTGTTGAGGGACCTTCTTGAGCAACAACTGCTTGGCATTTCTTGGTTTATCAAACATTTTTAAATTTCAGGTAATACTCACACATTTCTGTCACAACAAAGTTGAGGTAGCATAATAACTTGTTGAATTAGAATCGATTTGCAGTGTGATGAAATGGCAAACCGATAGCTGTTGTTTCTTACTTTTTTTCTACACTATCATTCAAAAGTTTGGGGTCTGTAAGATTTTTGGGAAATAAATGCCTGCATTTATTCGATTAAGAACAATAATACCGCTAAATATTATTACAATTTAAATTAACTGGTTTTTATTTGAATATATGTTAAAATGTAATTTATTTCTGTGATGGCAACACTGAATGTTCAGCAGCTCAAGTCTTCAGTGTCAGCCCATTCTCACCCCCAAGGCGTCACTTAACTGAACTGTATGATGATTGTCCTGCTTAACAATTTTTTGGAGACCCTGATACATTTTTTCAGGATCCTTTGATGAATAGAAAGAACATTTATTTGAATTAGAAATCAGTATCATTTAACTGTCACTTTTGATCAATTTAATCTGTCCTTGCTGAATAAAAGTATGAATTTCTTAAAAAAAAATAAAATAAAAAAAACACAAAAAGAAAAATCTTTCAATGGTTGTGTATAACATGTATTGAATTGACAACGTTGATTTCGATGCCGTCTTGAGTACAGTTTGTACACAAGTGTAGTCACGCTTATTTATGTCAACATTAATTTCCAAGTTTTCATACAAACATACCATAAATAAATACTTGTTTCTAAATGGTTGCCTTACCGTTACACCAACGTTGGTAGGATCTTTGCCTTCAATTAGCTGATATATAGACTGCAATGCCTCCTCTTTGCTTTGACCTTTGAACCTCTTTGGGGCCAATTCTTCTAGAGCTTTCTGGAACTCCTCAAATGTAATAACCCGAGATGTCTTTGCTCTGAATCATATGGTAAACATATAGGCTTTTCAATATTTACATTGCCCGGACAGTGCAGTTTTTGAAAATTTAATCTCTGAAGATTTTTAATAACAATAACAAAAATCTATATTGCAATTTGTTAAAATGTGTTAAAAAGTCTCCAGAACAAAAAACAAAAAAAAAAATGAAAAACTCACTTGACTTTAGTGAAGACAATATCTACATCGGTGCCGGTGACATTCTTGCCATCAATGACTTTGCAGTCTTTGCACAGCTTTGCCCAGTTTTTCCCATTCAACTCCTTCCCAGTGGCTTTGGTGTCACCATGAACAGCAAACTTCTTAAAGGAGCTCAGAAGCTGGTCCATGTCTGTGCTTTCTGCCATATTGGGTATTCTGCTAAACAAATAATAAGACTATGACCTAATGGAACAAATTTTCTTGAAAAAGAGGTGTTTTAACTGACCATATAAGTCCTCTGCAATAGGCATGACAAACAGACGTTTCTGAAGCCTTAATTTGACAAACAAGATGAAAGAGAAGGCAGATTAATGTGGTACATTAAACATAATTATTGCACTGTATTATATAATCTTCAGAATCTCAGATGTGTATTATACCAATAACGTCTAGTCTCGGTCTGTACATATGAAGTTGAGCCTAGACAATAAAGTACCTTAAACTCAGATTTAGCCTTTCTAAATGAGCCATGTTATCTGCATTATCTAAATTGTCCTGTCATTTTAGCTTAACGGTCTTCTTGTTGCAGAGTTTGGCAAACTTCTTTAGCAGGTCACCCTCTTTTCCATTGCGTTTTGAATGGCCTGAATGAATAAAATACCAATTAAAGCACTAGCCAAAAGTAACACATTAGGTGTATGTGGAATGATAGAGTCTGATGTAACATTTAAGGGCCAGATGGATTGAGCTAATGAGGTGATTACCAGCCCTCGGTAGACTGCTAATTTTTCATTCAACACAAATAACATGGATGTTAGAATTTCCTAGACATTTTCGGGCGGCCTCTTTTCGTCCCTCTTTCTTTCCTTCCTTCATAATTCTGTATTTTCTTTCTTTCGAGTGCATGAGTGAGACTTTCTTTGTGTGTCTGCACAGCCCAACCATTGTCAATGGAGGCGAGAGTAGGTGTGTGGATGGTCTGATGTGTCTTAGAGTTATTGTGGAATGTTTCAGATGGATGTCATGTAGAGGTGATGAGTGTACAGCAGTGATGGGTGGGCTTGCCCTGGCTTCAACTCCAACTCCTTCAGCCTTCTGTAATCTCCTCTCAGCTCACACACAATAACTTCAGTGTTACATAAAATAGTATCTTATATGCTCACCAAGGCTAGATTTATTTGGTCAAAAATACAGTCAAAACAGTAATATTGTCTTGTTCTATAGTTTTTTTTTTTTTTTTTTTTAATATATATAGTTCTCCCAAAAAATTTAAAATTGCGTCATTAATGACTCACCCTCTTGTCATTCCAAATTACTAAATTTCATGTCGTTCATCTTCGACACACACAAAGATCTTTTTGATTAAATCTGAGAGCTTTCGGTACTCTCCATTGACAGGGACACAACTACCACTTTGAAGCTTCAAGAAGTGCATAAAGAGTTCATTAAAAAAACTAATCCATAAGAATTGAGCAGTTTAGACCATTTTTATTTTATTTTTTTGAAGAGACACGATAATGTAGGCTTTTATTCACATTTAAAAATTGATCAGTGAACAAAAACCTAAGCTCAACCAAACCTGCTGCATAAGAACAAACCTCATTGTTGGAGCTCAAACGTGCTGTGTAACACGAAAATGAATCTCATTGGTTCTTCTGTTCATCATACTGTATATTCTGTCTCTCCAGAAAATTTAGACTAAACCGCTCAATTCATATGGATTAGTTTTACCATCCCTTTATGGATCTTTTGCTGAGTAAATTTGAGTGATTTCTGTCCATCCATTGAATCAAAAAGGTCTTCATTTGTGTTCCGAAGACAAACAAAAGTCTTATGGGTTTGTAACGACATGAGTGTGAGTAATTAATGACAGCATTTTCATTTTTGGTTAAACTAACCCTTTAAAATGGGATTTATTCATGTGATGACAAAGCTGAATTTTCAGCAGCCATTACTCCAGTCTTGTCACATGATCCAGCATATCCCAAATATGCTGATTTGGTAAGAAATGTTTCTTATTGTTCTTAATGTTGAAAACAGTTATGATAATATTTTTGGTGGGATGTTCAGGATTCTTTGATGGATAGACAGTTTAATTAGACATCTTTGGTAATATTACAAATGGCTCTACTGTCAATTCACCTTTGGCTAAGCCCCGCCTCCCTTAGTTACTGTTGCTACATCCGTCAAACTTCATCTGCGCTCTGCATGGCTTATGCTGTAACAGCTCTTCCTGCTGAAATGTTATCAAACTTTTATAAAGCAGCAAATAAAGTGTCTGATAGAAGTAGGCAAAAGGGGCTGCAATCAAAGGCTATATTCAAGACATACAGGTGAAACGCAAGAAACAACAAGGCATCCAAAATAGAGGCAAAAGCATAACGTTACCGGTCACAGTCAAAAAAGGAACCACCGCATTTTCCTACTAAACGAGACGGAGGCTGGGACTAACAATATCAGGGAGAAACACTGTTCATGCAAAGCTGGGTAGGTCTATATTCACTTCTATAATCGTTAAAGCAAACGGACTACACGAGTAACGTTATAACGTTGTATTTATTAGCAGCGTGTGCTAGCGTATCAACAACCGGTATGAGTACCGAAATCATAACCTAAAACATTATAAAACAGTCTAACTAGTATAAATTCACACTCACAGTAAGGTTAGAACAGAAGTAAAAAATATGTGCTTGTTGATCTTTGCGGGGTTTAGCTGACTGAGGACACCCACACTGACACAGGGAAGGGAAAAAACAGACACCCCCCTTCAACCTCTCTGGGAAACGCGTATGTGTTACAAATGCCCGAGGCACAACGTTTAACTATATTTTGAATAAAACCTGCCGAGACCAAAAATATGAGACGCCTGCGCTGTGAAAAAGTGTCCGTCCTCTGTGGGAGCTCGTTCTTTGCTGCGCTGTGATTGGTCAATCTACATTCTAGGGCGTGGCTTAGCCAAAGGTGAATTTCGATCAATTTAATGTGTCCTTGCTGAATAAAAATATTAATTTATATCACAAAAAAAATCTTACTTTTGAATAGTGGTGTTCATTCATTTTTTTTTTTTTTATTTCAGGATTTGTTAAGGATAATTAACCCCAAATTGTTGCATAATGTTGTAAACATCACTGGTTTGGCAAACAATTCAGTCATTGAACCATTGAAGTCATCGCATTTTATATGTCGTCATACTTAACATGTTGCACGTGTGTGCTGCGTATTTCCTTAATACATTCTATACTTCGGAGGTTATTCCCACACAGCCGGCTGAATAAAGACATCATTGTATGAGCCTCACCCTTCTAACACACATGCAAAGGCAGCCGTCCACATAAACACACACTGCCCTCCTCCCAAGAGATCCCCTCACACAGGACAAGACTTTGTGGAAGTGTCTATGGAAAATTACCATTGTATTAAAGATGGAAACACACACACACACACACACATACAGTAGACTCATCAAAATAACAAAGGCATATCCTGAAGACTTTCTGATTAGATCTCAATCTTTCTCTGCTTCAGCCCTATGGTTTTGCAGCTAATCCTTCTTTGTTGTCCTGCCTGCAAGATACCTATTCCCCCCACAATGTTTTTTCACACTTATTCTGTATTCCATACTGACATATAATAGATATAATATGTGATACTCACTTCATAAACCATCTGATATATATGAATATAACTGATATAGACAACTTGATGAGTGTTTACTTTTTGATCAGACAGACATCGACCCTATAATTAACCTGACAATGTCAGCAGCAGTGTTTTGTTCAACAATTATATG